TCTGACCGGTTTTAAAAATGAAATTCTAGCCCTAGTTTAATTTGTTTTTAATAGAATTTTTTACTTGGATTTTATTTCGCCTACCGCAAAAACATACGAAAAATATATCAAAAAATAAATCTAATTGATCACAAAATAAAAGAAGCGAAATAATTACCGAATAATATATGCAAATAAAACAAAACAAAATTCGACGAATTATTTATTGAATAAATACATTAGAATAAACGTATAACAGGGCCGGTTATTTTTGGAAGCTATCCAATACAAAACGAACTTATTTAATATATAGAAATATTTACTGACAAATAGCTATCAAGCGTAGCTAGGTAGTCAATTATAGACGCTCGAGTTTCGAGGTGTGTTCGAAATGATATGTATAGAAACATTAAAAATCGATTGCATTTTTAAAAAATACTTAATACCAACAGTCAACGTACAAACACCATTTCCCGGTATTTCCAAACCTACGCCCCCAAAATCGACCTTAAATATTTAATGAACACTATATCTTGTAAACTTTCGAAATGTTATTCTACGTATATTGGGAATTTAATGGCTGCCTTCGCCTAACTGCATCGATAACTGACGTTACACCCGCAAATATTATTTGAATATTTTATGCTCGTATTGCCGTATGTTGTAAGAGAATAAATAATGCACTGAAAATGGATATTAACGCTCGACCTATTTCTAGAACACGACGAGGTTTTATTTTTATTAATCGTTACATGTTGTGTTGTATAACAAATTAGTGTGGGTTCTGCTCGAGGAAATCGACACATAACTTGATACACAAAATGGACGCTAAGTGAAGTAATTTCGCGGCAAAATGGTGGCCCCAATACGAAAAACTTACCGGCCATACTTACCATAATGTGTTTTTGCTCGCGAAATATCAAAATCAAATGTAATAACCCTTACGAAAGCACTATTTCACTATTATGAAAGGGAAACAGAATCGATAGTAAACTACTTCGCAGTTCCGGCATCTCAAACGACGTGAATGTCAAAAGGAATACATGAACACATGCCGAACGAACTCGACAACAATTTCGACTTACATTTGAGTAGTAGGTAATCACTACTATTATTTTATGTTAAACTCTAAAATTAAACTTTGACATCCTGTATTTCGAAAACGAAAGCATTTCAGACCACACGTTTGACGGGTGATAGACATGTCATTTTCATAAAAATTGATATAACAGTATGTATCTCAATTTTCATGAAAACAACGGGTCTATCACCTGTCAACCGTTGACAGTTAGATATCCAAACACAACATTTTTTGAATTGCAACCGAAAACGAAATGCCGTAAGGGATTAAAACAAAATGGGAAGCCACAAAAGTTTCTATGAGAATGTTTTCGTAGAATTCTTGCAACATTGCAAATAAAATAATAAAAAAATAAAACCGAAAATATATTTGTTTCATTAGTAATACGTAGTAATACGACTAGAGGTCAAATTTCCCGATTTAATTTGACTTCGTGTGGTATTCGGTGAGAAAATTACATGCCAACAGTTTTTAACCAATCAAAATTGATTTTGTTGACAGATTTTCATAGCAAAGCATGTTTCTATAAAAATTTCCATAATTCATCCATTATGATCTGTCAAAAAAACACGTTTGTATTGGTTAAAAATTACAGGTCCGTAATTTTCAACTTAATACTGTCGGAATTAAGGATAATTTCACCAAATTTCAATGGTAAATTTAAAACACCCGTTGTGAATCCTGAACGAATGTTGGATATTTTTGCTCTCTTGGGTATTTTAATGGATGAATGAATGATAAATGAATTACTTATACAAAAACTACAAAAAACTTTTAAATGTCAACATTAGCAACTCTGATAAAACAGCAGTTATTAAAAAAAAACAGACACAAGAGTGTACGTATTTAAATTTGAATTATAACCTTCAAACAGACAGGTAAAATAAATGATTCTTGATAATTAGAAGTAGTGAGCCTTGTCATATACCCTCGTAAATGATAATAAAATATTTAAGCACTTCCATTAAAACCTACAGTGGAAAAAACAGAAATAATAACCATTTTCTACGAGTTTCTGATTTTGCAGACGCTAGTATAGTTAACATTATCAAATTACCCGTGTGAATGCCGAGTCTATAGCAGAACCAATTAACTAGGTCTAAGGGATCGAAGCAATTTTGTTCGCCATTCTTTAACAATTGTATAACTGTAGGTAGTGAGTATACTTCGTCTCAAACTATATAGTCGTGCCTTTTGACGGCAATTATCGAAATAACCTGCAGACAGCAATAAAACACTAGCATATTGTACGACAGAGCATCAGCGACGGACTTTTAAGGTGTTTTAAAAATATAAAGAATAAATATTAAATAAACATTATATTATGTTTATTTTGCGGCACTCGCACTTAAAGTAAGGGTAACATTTTTTACTTTCAAATTTGTTATTACTTGGTACCACAAATATGCTATGGGGTTGACTATACATACAATGATGTTCTACATTTGTATTGCATGATGGTCCACGCCGTTTGAAGGTGCTTTTGTCTGACAGTTTTTACTGGACTCAACCCATCCTTTGGATACTGTATCGTGTGTATCGAAGCAAAACTTGCTTTGATACACACTACGATATATACATCTAAGTATAGTTTTCAATTTCCTAAAGGTAATTAAATTGCCGCGCAATCGAAGGGCTAATAGTTATATTAGTTGCATCTTCTTCTTTTCAGTTTATCCAAAGTAGGAATAACCTGGTTTTGGATGAAGGGAATATATTTTCCTTCTTATCGTATCCTGTTCATTATTGTCCCGAAGGGGAGATTGAAAATCAGTATCCGTGTTTTTCTTTCATTCAATAATTCAACATCCTTTACCGTTGTTATTGGCGTTTTTTGAAAGGTTTTGTTTTTATGTTTGGTTTTGCTTTATGTATTTGCTTGTTTTTGGTTTTGCTTTATGTATAATAAATCTTCTGCTTATTAAACATTCATACACTTTAGTGCAGGACAATCAAGGTTGAACCCAAACAAGTTCTCTTAAGATTCCCTGCCATATTTTTTAGCACCAAAGAAGGCTAGTAAAAGATCTTCGCCGACCTGCATTATTAAACCCGTATCTGCGTTCGGTTTTACAAAAAATTTCTACCTTTTTTCTAATGATTTAAAACAGGTAAGCTTCCCTTCTTAAAAAAAGCGGAAATAGTGTCATCCTGAAATTGCGTGGGAGAACAATTAAAAACTTAAATATGATTGTGCATGCTTAATACTTAATGTCTAACAATTACTTGTTAAATTTGTTTTTTTTTGTTTAATCCACCTTTTTTTTAAACCCATTCCGTTTATAACGTACTAAACTAAAATTATTGTTTTACGTATTGTTGCTTAAATCTAATTATAAGCCTACAAACGAATTTATTATCAAATTTATATTTTTAATCTATTTCAACACCCTGTGGGACGCCAATGGCTGATCTGAATATTTGTGTATCATTTTGTATTGAATTTTTTATTCTTTAAATTTAAAAACTTTCTTCTAAAAACAGAAAATAATAGAGATATTCGACAAAAAGTGAAAAAAATGAACCGTTGGGATGGTTTTTGGCCACTTAGTATGTTAAATAGTGCCCCAAAAACTACTCCACCAATATCCTGCTTTAAGAGAATTTCTTCCGAGTAAAATGTAAACGAATTTAAAGCTCTTGGAGCATTTTTTTACAATTTGTTTTGCATCTAATGATAAGTGATATTCACAGAAAATTAGTGATATACTCGTGAACACTGCCGCTGATGTCAGCCGACACGTACTCGATGTTTTCTATCTTGCCTAAGAAGACGATATAGTCTGAGACACACTACACCCTTTACTCACTCAAAGAATAGTAGTTTGACGGAAATTACAGGGAATCATATGTCGGCAGGTTTTTTAAAATGTCCATTTCTAATTGCACTAAAAACATATACCTTTATATAATTGTGATTATTTTATTATTAAATTGATTGTTGCCAGCAAATCTACCAGTTAAGGGGCGACTTAAATACCCAAAATACGAAATAAATTTCGTACTTATCGTAAACTGCGCACGCGACATACCTACATGCAAACGAACAGACGGAATTTATCGCTTCAACCGATCTACAAATCTGCGCAGATTAAAATGAATTCCCAGAAGTTCCGTCATCCTAATCAAATAATTTTGTACTCCCACGGGACCGGAAAAACAAACAACGTAAGCCGCAAATTACGGGACTAATTTCCGACGCAACGGTAAACAAATCCATATTTGTAAAACCCCGCACGAGCCTAATTTAACAGTAATTTTTTCATCCAAAACGAAACTATTTTTTATGCGAAAGGTGAATGAAACCTGACGAATCCTCGAGGAGGTCAATAATCAGCAATCAAATCTCCTAGATGGGTTTCGTACAAAATACGCAGCAGGCCCCCGCGATGTTATAAAGGTGCACTTGCCAGGCAAACGACAAAACCAGCGCTTTTCCTTTTCTAACTCGTGCGGTTTAACGCGCGACGACGAAGACAGAAGAACGCGACGTATGCCATGCTTCCTTGAGAAATTTCAACAGCTGACTTCAATAACAAAGAGACTTTTACGGCCCGCAATTCTAGACAGTGCAACAAAACAAATCAATGACAACGCTGGGACCGACGATGTTTTTAGATAATTATCACCGTTTAATAATTTTGTGTCGTATCAATCGCGACCGCTAAAAATTTAGCTGACAATAAACGACTAACACGAAGTACATGTCAAAGTAATCAAAATATTCAAACATCGCAGTAAACTACCTGACGTTTGTTATTGTTTGGTAAAGCTAGACTTTATGTTATGAACAAAATCTAATCAAATGAGATGGGAACGATAAATGGCTGCAAAACAAAACTGAATATGGGGTAAAATTGCTAAAATGGCAGACCCATGCATGGAGGCCTTAACAAAGAAAATCAAGCGGACACAATCTAACGCAAAGTTTTCCACTTACTTTTGAAATCATGCGTATTCCCGGTCTCGTTTGTACAAATCCGATAACTGAAGCTGGGCGAATCAATCACGGAGTGGGACAATAAACACAAAAATTCGAGCACGGATTTTCGTATTACCTGCTCAGCTGAGATGTTTGCATCTCGCAAGAACATAGACAACACTGAATTGCTAGGCTGCCAGATTATTTCCGTTGGCCACCGTAAACAACAGCGGCGGCAGCACCTGTAAAGCAGAACCCACTATATGGTCGCTTTACGGAGTCCTGCAGAAACGCATTGTTTACAGTCAAAAATAATCCAAGAATCGGATTGAATTACGATTTATTGATAAACGATCAAACAGTTATTTAAAACACATGAGCAGCTAACGTGTTGATAATTAAATGGTATTTCAATTTAATATAATTGTTATAAGTATAACTTAACATAAATTGAGAATATTTATTGAATTATTAAAAAAACAACTTATCAAATTTTGAAGTTTAGAATACCAAATTTTATATAAATACAACAAATATGTATGTAGGATGCTAATAAGTTATTTTGTTTGATTTTTAAGATTTTTGTTTTATGCCTAATCAACGGATACCTAGACCTAAATATAAAAGTTTCATTTAAAACGAACCTTAGGTTGGACGAACTAGAACAATCTGTCTAAAACTTACTTGTGTTGCAGTTTGTGGTATAATTATGCAATTGAAAAATTGGGGGAAATGTTATTTGTGTCTTTCCAACTATTTGAACAAAAAAACTAGAATTTTATGCTTTTGCGCAGAAAGCATTTCTGTGTCAAAACTGAGTAATTACACCCAAATGAAGATAGTCATTACGTAGAACTACACCAAATTATTACGAAATAAGAGCAAAAATAATGAATTTTACGTTTTAATAAACATTGATTCTGGTAAATATCATACTTTGACTTTTAAAAATTTCCTTTGGTGGCTATATTATTTGTCTGTGATTTTAGTGTACTTAGTGAAACTAATGCAATAAAACAATCAAAATCAAAGGTAAAATGTATGTAAAAGTAAAATTTGTATGAAATACACCACTTAAATGTATAATTGCACGAACCTTTAATTGAAATATAGATACAAAAGTTCATAAGACTCTACGTTAAGGGCTGATTTAGGCAAAAAATTATCGTAATAATAATAATAAATAATAATAATTATACTTTGTTGGCGGTTTGCACATATTTACGATTATTCATGTCTTCGTTAGGCAATTATATACTTGACATAGACTTTTCTATCTATGGGGAAATAGTACTGAAGCATCTGACCTGCCGGCGATCCTGGCTCCCAATTTGTTAGCAACGTTACGTTCGTAGGCATGTAAAAGATTTATAACGTGTATTTTTTTTTTATTAGGATTGGTCAGCTTTGGTCGTGATGTGTCTGCTAAAGACAGATGTCGGTGAGTGATAGTGATTTCCCCAGGGAGCAACGTTAACTTTCACATTAATTATTTTCTGGTATGTGAGCCTTTTGGGATAGATAGTCTGGAAATTAGAAGAACCCACTATATCTTGACTTTTATAAAATTTTGAACGGTGTATATAACTGTTCGGCTCTCCTCCGGTCGATTGATTTTAACATCTATTAAAGACGTCAGAGCTCCCCAATGTTTTGTATTTCATTTCATCACGCCAACTATAGCTATTTTTCTCCTTTAACTCCAACGTTAACAGTTGCTCTTTTGATTCCTTTGCTGGCGATTTTCAACTACTTAAAACAAAATTGAAACAGGTTGTTTATTGTAGTTGTAACTAGTGTGATACTGTTTGTTTAATGTTTTTGTGTTTTTATATGGTTATTTAAAAAACTTGTTATGTAAGTTGTTGTTTTGTCATGTTGCTATTTCTGTTTATATTATATTTTTATTGTTACTTTTTCTTTGTAAATTGGTTCAGCCGTTGAAATGAATAAATAAATAAATAAATAATATATTATACATCATAAGGTTAGTTGGCGAATATTTTGTAGTGTAGGAAAATTCAATTTGTAATCTACAAAGTATATCAATAATTAAATTGTTCACTTATGTTTGTAGCTTGCCTTTTAGGATCTAATCTTGGTATTGGTCTAATTGTTTGGGAAAAATTGATCTAAACTTGTGTGGGAGTGTTAGTTTTGTTTAACTTTGAATCAAAATAAAACATCCAATATTTCAATTATTAAAAAAAAAATAGTTTAACGCCCTGTACCTCAAAATGTTTCTTACAATTAACCAAAAAGTTATTCCTTAAAGTTAAGCTGTATAAATAATTATATAATAGCCAATATAAACTTAAAGATGGATGAATGACTTGAACAGGGCCATGCCAAATTGTAAACAATAAATGAAACTTGAACAAAGGTTACTTTAATATCAAAGGGATAAAAATCAAACCAACAGAAATGCTACTAAACAGCACGAATTTTTATTAAATAACTGTTGGCGCTTAAAACATATCTACACTGTACAAAATATATCACAAAAACGATTCTCAAATGAGATGTTAATACTAACCAAAAGTATTAACTACTTGACTAGGGTAAATAGAGCCATGCTGCCTCGAGTGCAGGACCAGATCATTTTTTTCTGTAAAGGACTTATTGCAAAATGTGCACACGAAATTCTGACAACTTCCACTGCCATGTTGTCTTTTCTTGTGTTGAGTGAGACCATGCTTTGAGCTAAACTTGCGGAAACAAATATCACAGAAAAATTTCTTGTTTTTTGCTGGTTTTGATAAGTTTTTTAAGTTGGATTTGCTATTACAGCTTTGATCATTTGCGGGTTTCTGTTCATAACCGATTCTACTATTCATGGGTTTTTCCTCGTAGGAATGAACCGCAGACTGATGTTGTAGTAGTCTTTTTTCATCTTGAAAATGATCTCCGCAATGAAGGCAAGTCAACGCAAGCTGAGTGTCATGTAATCTAAAACATCAAATGTTTTTATATTTTCAAACATAGGAGTTGAAGGTATGTACTTAATATGGGCAATAAGGGTCCTTTTCTGCAAAAACTCTTTACTGCAGGTGGGACAGGACATTGGTTCCTTGCCATGAATACGTTCATGATTAACTAATTCAAATTTCCTTGTAAAAGTTGCGCCACATTGTGAACAAGCAAAAGAATTCAAGGAGCCATGAAAACGGAGATGCATAACCTGAAATTAAATTCATTTTTCTCAAACTCCCTCACTAAATTAATTAAAACAGTTTTTTTTATTCCTAAAAGTGGTCCATAAATAATATTACAAATATTATATTTCATACTTACTAGATGATTCTCTTGCGCAAATGTATCCCCACACTCTTTACAAATGTAAGGTCTTTCCCCTCTGTGAAATTTTTCATGTGTTATTAGTTGCTTTTTTAGAGGGAAACTTTTGCCACACTCACCACATAAGAATGGTTTTTCTCTTATGTGTACCTTTAAATAAACTAATTAATACAAATTAGCACATCAGCACACACTTACCCTTTCATGGCTAATTAAATGATGTTTTAAAGTAAATCTCTTTTTACACTGCAAACACTCATAGGGTCTTTCATTAGAGTGCAACAGCAAGTGGGTGTTCAAACAATACTTATGTGTAAAGCTTTTTCCGCAATGGCTGCAGACATGTGGCCTTGCGCCAGTGTGAGTCTTCTCGTGTGTAGTTAAATGGTGCTTCAATAAAAATGTCTTAGTGCACCGATCACATTTGAATGGTCGTTCCTTCTCTGGAATTGGTGGAATATCGGGGGCCATATTCACTTCCTTAGTGGTGGGTTTAACATCAGGTTTTACTAAATTCATTGTGCAATCACCAACACAATCACAATTGGTCACTGGACAATTATAAACTGGATTATCAAGCTTGGTATTGAAAATCGGAGGATCTTGTCGAGAGTTCATGAGACACATTGCCGAGAAAAATTTCGATTTATCTTCTATTGCTGTGATGGTTGGGTTTTCCATGAAATGAGGTTCCAGGGCCCAGTAACTGAATGTAGACAAATTCATATTCATTGTCTCATTAACCGTAGGCGGTGAGTAGATATGTTAAGCCAATATGTAAATAAATTCACGTTAAATTGTCAACATTGTTTAAAAACAAACTTACAAGCACTTTCGAGCAAGTAAACCCAGGTGACATTCACAGGCAATAAAATAATGACATCTGTCCAGCTGTCATTTCAGATTAAAATAATATTATTGTGACAAAATAATCTCACACTAAAGAGTAACAGTTTGTTATTAATGGTATAAGAAAAATCAATACAAATAAACTTAAAAAAAATAAAGCATATATAAAAAATAATAATTATTAGAAAAACCAGATAACAGTACATCATCCCGCGACATCTATTGGAAAAGTGACCGAACTGTTCAAATTGACATTCCGAAACCCAAACAACCTAAAACTAGGAGAATATTTATGCGATCCGGCTTCGCTCTGACAGATGGCAGGACCAGTACACCTCACGGATGACACTAGTTAAGACGGCGTTTTAAAAATTGAGATTCAATATTTGCCTTTTGTCTCCCAGAGATATGATTATTTAATAATTTATTGTATAATTTCATAATTGCGATATTCTTAAAAGTCACTAACGCTCAAAAACATTCTTTTTGTAATTTATTGTTAACCATCACCAACCAATGCGTGTGCTGAACATGTAAATGATGAACTAAATGACTTTTAAACATTTTCCCTAGGTTATTGTTGCTTTGTTAAAAAATCGTTATCTAATATTTGTCATAATGTGTTTCATGTGACCATAAACAAAAATTCACTCTTTCTGCGAGGTTGCTAGGGCACACCACCTCGCATACGAAAAGTTGCAGCAAATATTTAACTACACGAACGTCATAGCTTGTCAAATTTTCAAAAATACAGCAGTCAAAACTATGTCGTTATCGAAATCTAAATGCACCAGATGCGAAGAAAGTTGCGGCAAGGGGAAGGCGAGCGTTGATGTGATAAGAAAGCTAGAAGCGGCTTTTGATAAACTTGCAAGTTCGAACTCGACGTCGTTACTGAAAAGGTACCTAACTCGAACCATTTTCGATGACCTCAAAACTCGAAAAACTTCTTTCGGATCTACCCTCCTAGATTGTATCCAATCAGGTAATTATTTAAAATCTAATTTAAAATCGGGCTAAACGAATGACTACCCTGCTTAATATCTTATGTGAATCCTGCATGCAGTAGTTATTATATATGTACGAGGTGTGAACAAAAAGTAAGGTACCTTTGAAGTTTTATCACAAAGTATTTATTTATTTATCAAAATTAATGTTGCTCCCCTCAAAGTAACCCCGCCAGATATAATACACTTGTGCCAAAGTTTTTTCCAATCCTCGAAGCGCTTCTGGCCTTGAGTTCTTCCAGCGATTTTTCTTTATCTCCTCAATTATGCCAAACCTCCTTCCTTTCATGGGTTTCTTGGGTTTTGGGAATAGGAAAAAGTCGCAGGGGCCATATTCGGTGAATATGGTGGCTGAGGTTTTGTTTTTGGCCATAAAAGTTAGACACAAGCAACGATGCAGTATCGTGATGCAAAATCCATGTATTGTTTTCCCACCATTCGAAAACGGCCCATAACTTTATTGACCGTACGACCTTGTCGTAAGAAGTCTTGATGTGCTAATCCATGATAATCAAAGAAAACAGTAAGCACAGTAAAGTGCCACTTTAAGACCTCAGCTTCGATGTAAATGTAATGTAAGTAGATTGTTTTCCTGCTGTTTATGCAAAAATGTATCCCAAAAGTAATGGCCTTAGAAAAAGTATAGTGTGCAGCACCACTAGTGTATTAAATACTTTCTCTGCGCTCACTGCTCGTGCGAAAAAAAATTCGTGACTAAAATGTCGTTTATTTAACTAGTCGCCAACTATACTATTAAGTAAAAAGTAAGAGGCAAAAGAAAACTTAAAGGTGATGTTCAAGTATCATTTCTCATTTTTTGTAATTATTTAAATTTTAAATTGAACAAATTTGAATAGCATGAACAATAAATTTAAAAAAATATTAGCCCGCTTCGCAGATTTCGTTAAGAAGAAAGTTCGAAGATCAACTATGGAATGATATCGTTGTTTGTAATACAAACGGTTAAAAAATGATTTGATTTATAGTAGTTTAGTTGCCGATTTAAATGTTTTGAAGAGAATAACTATCAGTTCTGCTTATTTTTGCTTTCCATAGTTTTTTTATATCTTCAATTTTGGCCAGTTGCTGTCTAGTTATCGTCAATTAATCGATCACCTGGTTATATATATTTTGGAAAAGACAAATTTTATGGACTGCAAATATACAGCTTTATCCATTTAAAAGACATAAGCATGGTTTATAACCCAAAACCCAAAAATATGTTAAAAAGTTTATCTATGTTACTGTAATTTATGGAAAACATTAACGAAAAAGAAGCACGCACGCACACGCGCGCGCACTCACACGCACTAGAATTAACGGACACGTACTGCAAAAGTACCTAAAAATATAAATGCGAGATTATAAAAAAGTCGAAATGTTACCCTGCTCCACTCTAACTCTCCTCCTCGCCATACTCACAAAAAATCGTAGAAAAGAACACTGCACCTATATAGATGTCTAGCGGTAGCCCGCTTGTAACGCACGTTGAGCATACGCAATTGATTGTCTCCTTCCGCAGGACTAGAAAATTTTGATTCATCAATCGGTGTATACGCTGCGGATCCAGAATGTTACTCCCTTTTTGCTGAACTTTTCGATCCCATCATAGAGGCGTATCACGGCTTCAAAAAATCAGATAGGCAGCCTCCAACTGCTTGGGGACCCGTAGACACTTTCGCAAATTTGGACCCTAAAGATGAATACATCGTGTCGACTAGAATAAGATGTTGTCGCACCGTTAAGGGCTATCCCTTTAACCCTTGCATGGCCGCGGATCACTATCGGGAAATAGAACGACAAATAGTTTCGGTGCTCAACGAGTTGTCAGGTGAGAAGTAAGGAACTGGGAGCTGCTGACAGAAATTTTGAATGTTAGATCAATGCAGCTGCTAGAATAACAAATTATTCACTGATCAAGAGTGAGCAAAGTGTCAATTAATGACGTCAGCTTTGTTACCCAAGCCACGGTCGCGAGCTGCATAGGACATTTCCGGAACTTTAGTCACGGGGTTCGGAGCGATCAGCTGTTTTCGGTAGATTTTAGCCACGGTTGGTATTTTAACGTTTGTCAATTCTGAGGGGGACGTCATGCGTCATTCAGTAACTATTCATGTTGTTTTGCAAAAACGTCTCCAAAAATTAACGGCCTTAGAAAAAAACATTTTTAACCTAACCCATATTGTGAATGAGAATTGATTTCATCATTCCGGACCAGAAGGTGAAAATAAAAAAGTTTTTAGAAACTACATCCATACTACATTATAAAAATTTAATTTTTTTTTGTAATAAATTTGTGCATGAACTATTTTTTACTTATTACCATTACCACACCAAATTTTTAAGAAGTATTGCCCTAAGAAGAAACATTCGTGAAGATGTTTTATCATATTTCTCAAAAAAATCAGAAAAACTAAAATCATAACCGTTGTAAAAAACATATTCCTGAATCCTACGTCCATAAAGAAAAAATATATAATAAAAACAAAAAAAAATGGAAGTATCAGGTAAAATGGATATCAATATATTCTTAGTAGAAGCATCGGATGAACATCTTCTTATGACCAGACCAACGTGTTTTTGATTATGAGGTATACTGGAGCGTGTTGATTTTATTTAATTGACGACATAAGAGACAACCTATGCTTTTGGTTAACATTCCAAACACCAAAGAAATAATCCAATAATTAATGGAGAAAAATAACTAAATTTATCTAGAAAGTGGATAGGCTTACGCTCTCTTTATTCGTTACAATAAAGGAAAATGTAATCAATAAGCCCTAGGCATACATAGAATAGATAAAGCTCCTTTCGAAAGATCTGCTTGGTTAAACGTGAGGAATACATAGACAATATCCTGAATCAGGCAGTTCAGACACAGTTACTATATCACAAACTCATTGTAATATAAGTAGTTCCAAAAATCTGAATAAAACAAATAATTTAGAAATATTTAAATCATCCGATCTATCTCAAGCAGTGAGTAAAGTATCGAAAAATGACGTTTTAAAGCGACACCTTGCGCACGCTCGATCAGTGCATAATAATTAAAAATAAGGAACCAAATAAGTACATAAATAATTAGAGCTTTAAACGATTACGTGAAATCCATGTTGCTATAAGATAATACAGTGGCCTTACTACGGTAAAAATTGATGCCGCATGCGTTACCCCCAACTGACTGATTTGCTACATTGCCGCAATTTTTCTGGAAAATTTATTAATTTTTAAAAGAATGCATCATTAATCTCTGAAATCCGAACATCATTGGCAACGCCGAGGTAAGTAATTACTATAGTCCTAGTCTGTGCCCTGTGCCAATATTTCTGTACCGTACTCAGAAACTTCTATAATTTGTGCTTTCAATACTTTGTTCTTTCACGAAATTACAACAAATGTGGCAAATATTATAATAGGATGTTAAAGAAACGGTGGTACCTATATATTTGATATTTAACAAACTGGAAAATAGACTTACACACATATTTACATGTTTACATATTTACAGATACACTTAAATAGCTACGAAGAATGTTCGGGTAATATACAGGAAAAATAAGAAAGCAATTAAGCTACAAGTTGAATTTTTACTTTAACAAGCATAAGAAATACTCCTTGTCTATAGGAGGTGCTTCTTGAATATTTTTTCACTTAGATGTTTCATGTGCAATATCTAGCAGCTCAAAGCTCAAATGGAGGTTAAACCTACATGTTTATCAAAAAACTAACGCTTTGCGCCGATTAGGGATATTCCGATACTAGTAAATACGAGTAGGTACTCGATACTTTTGATTCGATACCAAGTATTTATAGCATTGAATCAATCAATCTTGCGATACTTACTCGGTATCGAAACAAAAGTATTTGGTATCAAATCGAATCAGCCTCATTATTAAAAAAAAAAACCGAACGCATCAGGCAAACATAATCTCTATCTGATCTATGGTAACGCGTTGTCTCACGCCAGCCAAGCCGAACTCGTCCGACTTCATTCGACCGAGCCCGAGCCAAACGCGAGAAAGACGTCCGCCCTTCATTTTTTTCATTGTCAACCAACATAAATTGTGAAACATACAAGAGATTGCTTACGAATAATTTTATTTATTGTAATCATCGGCTTATTATTCTTATGTTATCATGGAGATTTTTGTTTAAAGTACGTGTTTAACGTGACGCAAACGTTTATAATAAAAGTTTTCTTTTCCTTCTTAGTTTTGTTTTAATTATTGTCCTTCAACGTTCATTGTTAGTTTCCTTAAAATAAATAAAAAAATAATGAAGTGTTAAAAGTATCGATATGAGTAAGTAACGATACTTTAGGTGTATTTATTTGGGTAGTATCGAAAAAAGATTTGAGTACTATCGAAATGAGTAGGTATCGATACTTTAATGGTATCGGAACATCCGATTTACAAAATAATAGCTTACATCAAAAAATACATGTAGACATTGCATAGTATCTACAGGGCTTGAAGAACAAAAACAATTCTGCATTGCTTTTCCAGACCTTATCTCCTCTTTTGCTTGAGAATTTAATAAGATTTCGACATATTTTGAGAAAATACTGCCGTAAAAATGCCGCATCTAAAACCAAATTTGAAATCTTTGGCATGCGCACTCAGAATGGACCTTCTCAAAAAAAATTATATAGTGGCTTCATGAGTTCCTGTATTGTCAGCATAGGCAGGGCCTCTATATCTCTAGTAGCTATATGGTGAAATTTGTAAGAGAACCACCCAAAACATTGCATTCTGTTCTTTAGGAGAATACAGAGGAATTTATCATCCGCTAACGGGAATGCCGAAAGACGTTCAGCAAAATCTGATCGACAGTCATTACTTGTTTAAAGAAGGTGACCGATTTTTGCAATCCGCAAACGCGTGCAGACACTGGCCAACTGGTAGGGGAATATTTTTCAACGACAAAAAGACTTTCCTCGTGTGGGTATGCGAGGAGGATCATCTGCGAATCATGTGCATGCAGCCCGGCGGCAATGTCGGCGAAGTTTATAGAAGACTGGTCGGTGCTGTCACAGAACTGGAGAAAAAGCTAACTTTTATTAGGAGCGACAGATTTGGATATGTTACATTTTGCCCCACAAATTTAGGTAAGTTGGCGAACGTCAGTGTAGAAGGATCCTTCAATATTAATGGTTTAAAAATTAACCCCATAGTTTTTTCGAATTGCCAACAATAAATAAAATTTACATTTCGAAGAATAAAAATTATCTGTTATTAATAAAATTGGATACTCGGAAAATGGAATGAATTTTAATTTTGATAATGTTGAACTAAATATTTCTTTGGATTCTGCAAATAGTAAATATTTTATTACGCGTTAAAATTCAAAAAATTTTGAGAATTTGTGTTTCATTGGAAAAAAAGTACTCTCCGGCCGGGAATCGAACCCGGGTCTCCCGCGTGACAGGCGGGGATACTGACCACTATACTACTGCCTGCCAGCTGGGGCTGAAACTCAACCTAGCGAAGTGCGGCCTATATACGAGAGCGGCCTCAAACCCTACCCAAGCACTCGAGGCGCCTTTCCTCCCGGAAGTCCGCGAGGGGTATAAGTACCTTGGACTGGACCAGCTGGAGCGAGACACGATGGCGAACTACGATAAGATAGAGGAGGCCATGCAGGAAACACTGGAGAGAATCCTCAGTTCGAAGCTCATAAACAACACGGTCATCCCCGCGGTCATCCATGTAACCGGCAACATATATCCGGACGAGAAACGAAGCTCCTCTCTCAAGAAGTGCCGCGACCTCGACACCAAGGTTCGGAAAAAACTGGTCGAACACAACGTCAAAGGCAAAACCTCGTCCAACGCGGGGATATATCTGCCAACCGACAGAGGGGGTCTGGGTATAAGATCTATCGAATTTGAAACCGAAAAATGCTTCCTCAGAAAGGGCATATACATGCGTAAGCATGAACATCTGGAAGAGGGGCGCGAATGGTGCCAAGCACTAAAAAGAGGCGGATGCAGGAACCCGTTGTCCGATATGGAATGGGTGGCCGGCAAGTACGGCCTAGACATCAATTTTGAAGAGGACCTTAAGAAATCAGTAAAGAGGGCGATCGACGCAATGGAGAGGAGGTTTCTGGAGGATCTGCAACAGGAATGGTCTAGAAACATGCATTACGGGAAGGTAGTGCTCCAGGAACACCCCAAAATCTCTTTCCCCGCCCACAAATCACCGCACCTGGACAGTTGGCGCAGGACAATACTCCTCACTGCGTCCGAAGAACAAATCCACGGCTTAGGGTCGAATCCGTGCCGCAGAAAATGCCGACAGGGTTGCAATCGAGACGAGACCGCCTACCATGTCGCCTCTGCCTGCACAACGGAAGCGTACATCACACGCCACGACTACGCAGTGCACTGGACCATAAAAACCATCCTGAAGAGTCTAAAAGCTCCCAGACAGGCCACCAGAGGCCTCCAATTTGGCAAGGCCACTTGCCACATTGACTTCGAAGCACGAGGCAGAAGCATTTCCGTAACAGCAGGTCACAAGCTCCTTACAGAAAAGCAATTACATCACAATAAACCGGACATCGTGGTCCGTCTCTCCAACCCGGAGGAGATATTCGTCTTTGAAGTAGCCGTGTCCCACATCCAGAACTGGAGGAACCAAGAGCATCTTAAGAGGACCCGATATGCAGTAAATTCTGTAGCCCACGTAACAGAGTCCGACTTATCCACCCTGGCCAGGGACCTAAACCTGGTGTCGGAACTGCAGAAAATCTACAGGTGCCCAGTAAGACTGGGTATCTTCGTCGTGGGCTGTTATGGAGAAATTATAGCAACAGATGAGCACAAGGAGTTCTGTAACATCCTCAGGAGCGGTCTCCGGGTTTCAGCCAGGGACCTGCAGGTGCTGATTAACAGAGCCAGCTACAGCGTGGCAGTATCCACCACGAATCTTATTCTTAAGAGACTTCGCGATACTTGACTTACCTGTTATGCTTGCCGATATATGTACGTCTGCCTGACTTTCGTCGCGGTGCCGTCCCTTGCCGTACTGTGTTCATAGTCACTAGGACCTAATTAATTTTAAATTGTTTGTTTTTGCCATGTACAATATTATATGTATATAAGGTAAAGGCTTAAATAAAGACTATATACTACCGAAGACTATGAAAATTGTTTAATTAAACGATTAATAATTGTACAGACTACGATAAGATAGAGGAGGCCATGCAGGAAACACTGGAGAGAATCCTCAGTTCGAAGCTCACTACCATGCAAAAGAGCACACTAATAAACAACACGGTCATCCCCGCGGTCATCTATGTAACCGGCGACATATATTCGGACGAGAAACGAAGCTCCTCTCTCAAGAAGTGCCGCGACCTCGACACCAAGATTCGGAAAAAACTGGTCGAACACAAGGCAAAACCTCGTCCAACGCGGGGATATATCTGCCAACCGACAAAGGGTGTCTGGGTATAAGATCTATCGAATTTGAAACCGAAAAATGCCTCCTCAGAAAGGGCATATACATGCGTAAGCATGATAATCTGGAAGAGGGGCGCGAATGGTGCCAAGCACTAAAAAGAGGCGGATGCAGGAACCCGTTGTCCGATATGGAATGGGTGGCCGGCAAGTACGGCCTAGACATCAATTTTGAAGAGAACCTTAAGAAATCAGTAAAGACGGCGCTCGACGCAATGGAGAAGAGGTTTCTGGAGGATCTGCAACAGGAATGGTCTAGAAACATGCATTACGGGAAGGTAGTGCTCCAGGAACACCCCAAAATCTCTTTCCCCGCCCACAAATCACCGCACCTGGACAGTTGGCGGAGGACAATACTCCTCACTGCGTCCGAAGAACAAATCCACGGCTTAGGGTCGAATCCATGCCGCAGAAAATGCCGACAGGTTTGCAATCGAGACGAGACTGCCTACCATGTCGCTTCTGCCTGCACAACGGAAGCGTACATCACACGCCACGACTACGCAGTGCACTGGACCATAAAAACCATCCTGAAGAGTCTAAAAGCCCTCAGACAGGCCACCAGAGGCCTCCAATTTGGCAAGGCCACTTGCCACATTGACTTCGAAGCACGAGGCAGAAGCATTTCCGTAACAGCAGGTCACAAGCTCCTTACAGAAAAGCAATTACATCACAATAAACCGGACATCGTGGTCCGTCTCTCCAATTCGGAGGAGATATTCGTCTTAGAAGTAGCCGTGTCCCACATCCAGAACTGGAGGAACCAAGAGCACCTTAAGAGGACCCGATATGCAGTAAATTCTGTACCCCACGTAACAGAGTCCAACTTATCCATCCTGGCGAGGGACCTAAACCTGGTGTCAGAACTGCAGAAAATCTACAGGTGCCCAGTAAGACTGGGTATCTTCGTCGTGGGCTGTTATGGCGAAATTATAGCAACAGATGAGCACAAGGAGTTCTGTAACATCCTCAGGAGCGGTCTCCGGGTTTCAGCCAGGGACCTGCAGGTGCTGATTAACAGAGCCAGCTACAGCGTGGCAGTGTCCACCACGAATCTTATTCTTAAGAGACTTCGCGATACTTGACTTACCTGTTATGCTTGCCGATATATGTACGTCTGCCCGACTTTCGTCGCGGTGCCGTCCCTTGCCGTACTGTGTTCATTGTCACTAGGACCTAATTAATTTTAAATTGTTTGTTTTTGCCATGTACAATATTATATGTATATAAGGTAAAGGCTTAAATAAAGACTATATACTACCGAAGACTCTGATAAATGAGAGGCGTGCGCACGAGATCTCCGTAAAAATCCAGGTTTCGGTGATTACACAACGGAAATTCCTTGCGCAACAGCTACACCGTAATGAAAATTGTCCTATTAACACTTCTAAATAAATTTGAAAAAGGGCAACATAGATCGAGATGAAAAACGAAACGTCACTATGAAGAGGTGATGCTCGACATCATGGTTCGGAAAAAATTGTCCGAACACATCAAGAGCAAAACCTCATCCAACGATCTGGAGAAATCTGATCTGTGAAGAGGGTGCTCGAGGCAATTAAGAAAAGGGTTCTGGAAAATGGGAAACAGGAGTGGCCCAGAAATAGGCATTTCGAGATAGTGATGCTCTAGGTGCATCCCAAAATCTTTTCCACGCATAAATCTTAAGAACAGCCTCCATGCCTCGACCAAGGACCTCAAGGTACTGATTAAAAGAGCAAGCGACAGCGTGACAGTCTCCAACACAAATCTTATTATGAATGGACTGCGATAATTAGTTGTGATACTTTTCAAAAATCTACTTTTGATTTTAGATTTTGATACTCTTTTTTCTCAAAGAAACTTCCACAAGCTACTGTAGTAATATTTACAAAACTTCTGGATTCATCCTGCGTCGGTTGTTTTTGAGTCGAACTTGCTAACGTTTCGCCAATCACCCAGTTGGCTTATTCAGAGCTTGACTAAAACTGGCTCGCCTTTTACTTTATTTACTGCTTATGTATTTCTTGAGGGGGCGGAGTTAAATGAAGCGCATAATCATCATCTCCCATGACTGATTCCCATATTGGTGATAGTTAAAGACCTGAATCGCGGTTAAGATTGTTAGGTTGCTTCTAGATTTCTATAAATTACCGGATTTTTCGTTGGAAGAAGAATTGATTACACGCAAGAATTTTAGTTTAATCGAATAAAATTTTATGTCCGGTTTCGTGATTGTGTTCGGCAACTGCTGATGAGTTTATTTGTCTTAATTTTAAGGCTCCCCTCATGTTCTTTGAGCCAAGTTGATATTTTTTGTCCGGTCTCTCCAATATATGCAGTAAACCCATGGCATCTCAAATGGAATTTTGTCTTTGACGGATCGAATATGTTGAGAGATTTTTGGACAAGTGGTATCTGGTTGTGACGTTATATTGCTTAAGAATTTTTGATATGTGGTCGGCGATGTTTTGGATGTAAGGAAGGACAACAGTCGCATGTGTAGGATCGCTTTCGGACTCATTGCTATTGGAAGGTTGTGTTGAAGTGTATTTTGTCATGGAATATTTTAAGAAAATTGTGGATAACGTTATGGTCTCTACAAGGTAACAACAAGGTCAGTGTACAGTATAACCTTACCAGTTTCAGTCGGTGATCTTCTTACTTTCTGCTTTTGCGCTTGGTGTCCTCTCCATAAAGGCTTGCTAATTTTTCCAAGAAGCTTCCACAGGCTACTGTAATACTATTTACAAAACTTCTGGATTCCTCCTACTACTATTTCTAAAAATTGTTCTGTGTTCACAGTCACTAGGACCTAATTAATTGTCAATTGTTTGCTTTTGCTCTGAAAGAGAACACCCGCCTCCGATAATCGAGGTTTTCTTGGGTTTTTAACGGATTTTGTTCTTGAAAATGTTATGTATAAAGGCAAAACTATCAATAAATAACATGGAGTACCACAGATTCTGACATTTTGAATATACGTGCTTGCTGAGGGTAAAAATCGCTTAAATACTTCAAAAACATATTTTACGGAGGTGCGAAAATTACCCAAAAATATTTGGAAAGGGCGATTTGAAAAATAATAACAATTAAATTGAAAAAAGTACTCTCCGGCCGGGAATCGAACCCGGGTCTCCCGCGTGACAGGCGGGGATACTTACCACTATACTACCGAAGACTCTGTAAAATTTTGTTTTGGCTGTTAGAATCGCAGTTCTTGTTGGCTTTTGCAATTAATTTTTGTAAATATCGATTTAAAATAGCTACCAATGTTACTCAAAAGACGTCCTTAAACAAATAAAAATGCAATCTTCTATGCCGTTTATGTCCTTCAGTGCGGAATTAGTTACACTGCTTTTAAAATAGACACCGAAACTGAAATATTCATGAAATTTTTTACAAGGTATTTACTAATTTTGTGTTTACACTAACAACATTTTAAATTTAAAGATAAGATTTATTTTTTATTTGAGTACCTACTCTATGAAGTGTTTTCCGTTAAATACGAATGCGAATCCCTATAGTAAACATTTTTTGTTTGAAATTTGCGTATCATCCTCTTCGCAAACCTTCCTGAACGTACGATTTTAATTGTGGGGCATGTTTCATTGTTGGAAATATAGCGCCATGCAAATTTTATGGACAATTAAATTTCGCTAATTTGTATTCACTAGATATTAATTATGGGGACCAAACAAAACGCAAATTAAAAAAATGTTTTTTTTTATTTTGGAAACCTACTATGCACATTTCAATTCGTTATTAAGTTAGTTTGTTAGTTAAGTTAGTAGACTACATTTTTCTTTGCCATATTTATTTGAATTCATTTATTAGCTTTTCATATTTATTTACTCAAAATTTGTCTCCTAATATTTCTTGAAAAATTCATATCTCAAAAAAGAAACGCAATCCAATATAATTTGCACAAAATACTTAAGGATATATTATAAAATATTGTCAAAATTGCTGCCAAGACTTTTTAAAATACTTTTTTGAAGGAACTGCTTACGAATACTATAAACATAATTGTAATTCTGCATTAGTCGAAGACTAATGAGGGAAAAAGAGAGATGGGACAAAAACAAATGTAATTTGCTCGAAATATTCGACAATGTGTGGCAACGTTTAATAATATGGATATACAGTCAAAGAAGAAGAAGAAAAGCGATATAAAATAAATTGCATTTAAAAAATGTTAACGTTTTGTTTGGTGTTAATACGTTACTTTCATATGATTCGAAAATTGTAGTTTTTAAGCTGATAAAGTTAAAAGGTATAAACATGTTAGGAATATTTCCTAAGTAGGATCCGGATCCCATATGACTCTAAAACCTGCACTGCGTTTAAAAAACTACCGCTAACAAAATGTGCCATTAAATTAAAACTATTTGGGGTATATTTCTGCAATTATCTCAACTCATCGGGGTGCGCCGTATAGCTACTGGAGATATAGAGGCCCCACCGGTCGTGTGAAATAAACTCGTGAGTTAAATGCCGTTTACCGCACTTGTTGCATAATATACTATTACTGAAAACATTCGATTGCTCCCAAATCCGTGCGGTAAAATCCCGGAAATGTCCGAAGTAGCTCGGATTCATGGGAAACGAAACTGACTTGGTTAAGTGACGCTTCCCGCACGCTAGATCGGTGGGTAATTAGGTATTTTACAGACGGGAGTAGAAAAACTTTTTAACTCACTCGTTTATTAAAAACTCATGAGTCAAATGCCGTTTACTGCACTTGTTGCGTAATATACTATTTTTCACTAATAATACCATTAGAGGTCAAGGTGCTGTGAATTTGTTGTCAGTAACACGTAAGTGAAAGTAAGTGATTTTGTTGACAGATTTGTTGATAGATTTCCATAGCAACACATGTTTCTATAAACATTTCCAATATAATTCGCTGTTGGGTATCCACCTTGAAAAACTTCCACGAAAATCCATGCGTTGCCATGATGATCTTTCAAAAAAACACGTTTTGATTGGTTAAAAATTTCAGGCATGGAATTTACTCCACTGACCATAGTAGGCCCAGTATTTTTAGCGTCGCTTCGATAAGCTTCCTTTTGTACTTTTAGGCTAGGTTCTATATAAAAAAACCATATCAATTATGTACTGAAACAGTTGAATCCTGTGCCGCGAATGTTCGTGATGATGGTTACTCTATCTTCTAGGAGTTTGCCGTATTTCCTGTTGGCTTTAATTAATTCAAGTTTGGGCGACGGAGATGGACGGATAATTTTCTCGAAAAATGACGATGATTCCTATGACGTCATCGTGAACTCTGACCTGAACGACGACGTGCCGCGCTGGCTCTTTGGAAGCAGCTTTTTCGGTTTGCCTTACGGTTGGAGGTACAATGACGACATCACAGCTACCATCAGAATGGACCGAGACCGTTATCAAATTGTGGCAGACCTTAGATTTTTCGAGGGTGATAGTGTCAAAGTGAAGATTACAAGTGGAAATTCCATCACCGTATACGCCAAACAAAAATACCGAAATGAGTACGGAAGGTCTACTTCGAAATCATTTAACAGAAAGTTCTCCGTTCCTAGGACTTACAACGTCAATAGAATGGAAGCTCGACTGTCTTCGTCGGGCGTTTTGACCATAAACGTACCAAATGATAGAGATAGAGACACCATTTTATTCTCCAACTCTGGATACCGGAACATTTACTATTGAAATTGGTATTTTTACCTGTAATTTGAGTACCAAAAGAAGCAAATAAATAAGATGGAAAATTTGAGTTTTTGTTAATATACATTATTAATGTGTCTCTTGCAGTACAATCCTGTTCGAAAGTAACTCCTTTCAGCGTAAAATGTTTTTTCGAACTTCAAGATTATTTGTTGCTTTGAAGATCAATTTTTACATTTTTGTATGCTCTTGAAAAATCGATGCTGTTTATGCCGAAAAATATGATATGATGAAATAAAATATTGTACTGGAGTTAATTCAGTTTAGTTATATTTTAGAGTTTTGGCGATCTATCTGATTAAGGATGGCGTTACAAATTTGTGTAATTAATTATATGGTTATAATTTGGAGTAATGGAAAATAATTACTAATTCTATACATGATGTGTTATTGACCATTTGTCTTGCACCTTCAAAATATTTTGAAGCTTTAGGTATGGGATAATGTAGCTGATCCACTTAGAAGATTAATCCTTTTTGGAATATTTGATGGTGTCGATTGCATCGTTTTTTTCCATTTGTAAATTAATTTAATCGTTTTTTGTTTGGTTGGATCACACTCTTACACAGAACCAAGGTTTTGTGATTAATTTTAATTAATTAATGTAAGCAAATGTCGTGTGAACATAATTTTAAAAGATTATTTTGGTAATTTTAGGTAATACAAATGTTTTGTGTGATTTTTAGGTACAACAATTAGAGCTTCGGTGCACATAAAATTACCGAAACTGGCTTCAAATATGGACAAATTGAAGAACTTGGCGGAGAAATACCACTTGCAGGTTCGTGGTACTGCCGGTGAACACACTGAGTCTGAGGGGGGCGTCTACGATTTATCGAACAAAAGACGGCTGGGACTTACGGAACACGAAGTTATGAAGGAAATGTATACCGGTATTTCGGAAATTCTCAAGCACGAAAAGTCGGCGAAGTGATTGAAATTTGAGAATTGTCAATAATCAAAGCTGTTTTTTAAATACACGATATTTAGTGCAATTTTAGTAGTATTGCGGCTTACTTGGAGAGGAGATATATATGGAGAATATATATATATATATATATATATATATATATATATATATATATATATATATATATATATATATATATATATATATATATATATATATATATATATATATATATATATATATATATATATATATATATATATATATATATATATATATATATATTGCAAACCAAATAAAAGTGCTAAATACAAGATCTTCCATTAAAAAAAATATTTTTTTAAATTAAAAAATATATATTTTTTAATTAATAAAAAAACGTTTTTTTACTTCTATCTGTGACCACCCCGTATAATATATTTTCGCCATAGATAAGTCAAAGCATGAAATTATTAACCACTTCCATGCATCCATAATAAAAATTCCCAATTTTAGTTTTCAAGTATAAAAAAACACATTTTTCCAAAGAGCTGTTTTTCCGCAAATAAAAAAGTAAAGTTTATTTTTGTCAACAAGTATGACACTAAGGAACAAAAGTTAAATACAAAATTTTTTGACCCTAAGTACATATTTTATTTTGAGTATTTTTTTAAAATGCAATACTATAAATTATTTTGTTTATTTATTTATTTATTTATGGTTTGGGACTTAATTCTCTAAATTAAATTTCGTATGCAATGTAATTTCAAAAAATACTTAAAATCAAGCGAATAATTAATATTTTAAAAAATACTCATAGCATTTAAAAGAATAAAGTTGATTACCGTCCTGGCACAACGGAACTCCCTGTATACATAAAGATTATGTAAGTAAAACACTTTTTGTATTTAACTTTTTTTAGTCAGTGTCGTACTGATTGGGATAAATTACAGGAGCCTCTTAAATGGACCACCCTGTACAATTGTTTAGGGAATCGATATGTTTTACGCTAAGGCAATTGGTTTTTTAAAACATCGGCTGCATATATATTATAAATCTTCATTCCTAGATGAAGATTTATAATGTTAACATCGTTAAGTGCTTTTAGAAACATTTCAAAACATTTATTATCTCTGTGATCCAGGAAGCAGGAATAAATACACATAAATGCATAAAGATAATTAAGAAATAAGAAAATAAAGGTGAAAATGTATCAAAGAAACGAAGAATGTCAATAAAAAAAAGTTTAAGATTTACATGTAAGATTTGTTAGTTTGTTAGTTTTCAATGTCAAATATAAAGTAACAATTTTCTCTTTATTTCTTGCTAAAATTCTAGGTCATGTCTTTCCCATGTAAAATCACGACGATATAGCCCGAGTTAAAAAAAAGGCGAAGGGGAACTTGTAAAAATTTACCAGAAAATCCTGAACTGGACTGAAATGTACTAATAATAATACCTAAATTCGCTGAGCTATCGTAATGTTATAATCGTTTATTTCAAAAGTTTTTATTTATTTTTTAAATTCGCTAAAAAAATCTTATATCAAATTGCGATAGGAAAATCCTTCTTGGTATACATTTTGTTAAACTTAGATGATACGGGTATATATACGAAATAGTGCGAATCCAATGCAGTGTCGAAGTGAATTGGGAAGTTGAATTTAATAAATCCCTCTGCTATAGTAAGCGACCTTGTGGAATTATCACGTCTTTTTCCCAAGTGTCATCCCTGATAAGCAATCTAGGAAAGCATAGCCACAGCAGATTTGCTATAATGTTCTGGATTGTTGTTACCGGTATTTCACCTACGCCAATGGGCTCGGCCCCCAGTCTCCGTTCCTTTGCGGAGATAGTGTTCGGTGATTCATGAGTAGCTCGACAACGCTATCGCGACTTGCGGCGAGTTAAGTTTAATTATTTTTAAAAAATGTTGTTACGCGCTAGTGGGACATAATGTCGGTGTTGCTGGAAAACGTTACCAACTGTATGTTTTTAGCGTTCGAGGCCCTGCAGCAAGAGAAAATCGGGCTCGTCAATAAGTCCAAATTGAAGGTAAAGAATTTCATTTTAAAATTTTATGGTTATATATATATGTTGCATGATTTGAGACGCGCTTCGATAGTATGCATCTGTTTTCACACTCTTGATGGTTAATGTAGAACCTATAATAAAATGCCAAAGCTTCCTGCAATACGCGAATATTTACAATTTCTTCTACAACGTGTTTTGAGGTAAATATTTACAAAACTTTTTTTGAACAAAAGTGTTACATAGAAAACGTAGGAAAGAAATGTCATTTAAATATGAGCAAAACTATATCTCGTTTAAAATTTTGAACCGTTTCCCCACTAATAAAACATTATCTTACTGACCTTTCTTAGCACTCAAAGCCGCAGAAAATTATAGTTTCGGACTGTTAATACATTCTGATATGAATAATGAAAAACAAGTGTTAAAATAGATGCCCCTGTCCAAGGAAAACTTCTCAAAATTTGAAGCGTCTATTGAATGTGTTTTATTATTGGAATTAAAATTATTGGTTTATTAATCTTAGAGCAACAATTTTTCGTTTAATTAAAAAAATAAGTTGGTGATGACAGCTCAATAACTTTGTACGGGAAAAAAAGGTACTATGATCATCCGACATAAATAATTTACAATATTAAATTATATGTTTATAGAATTGTATAATTTGCTCCCTGATTCGAGATTAGTATACTAAGTAGATTTAAATTAAATCCCTAAAAAAATCTATATTACTGTTCTGTGATAAAAGAAAATGCTTTCCGATACGCCTCTGGCGTTGATATGCACCTATTATTAGAACTAAGAATGCCAATTTTTATTTACATTACACCCAGCCTCTGATTTAAATATTATTATTAAAATTAACAAGTACCGCGCTTTGTATATCCATTTTATTTTAAACATATTCGGTTTTTTCGATTGTCCATGTGTAAATCGATTCAAATTGTTACAGTTAAATGTTTTGCAAAGACAAGGTAAACAGATCTCTCAATGAATTGATAGTTATTTAAGCTTTATAAAAATGGATTTTAAATTCGCCTCCAAAAACTACTTCTTCCTGTGATTAGCCCCGTAATTGTAAAGTTTTAAACGTTTCATTGGTGTATTGCAAATCGGCAATTTTGAAAATAATCTAAAACATTTCATAAACATAGGTCCTACAAAGCACTCTTACCATTCTATGCGCCCCATTATTTGGATAATTCTTGAAATAAGTTTCACTTTGATGTAATTGTGGGTTTGTAGCTTGGCAACAGATTTTGGCGGAATTCTTGACGATAAAAGCTGACGTAATTTAAATTTCCCTCCGTAAAGTCAAAACTATTAATATAATCTAGCTCATTTATCCATTTTTACTTTAAACTACGCCATTTACTAAATTATTATCTAGACTAAGGCACTATTACCGTGGTAAACAATTTTGTAGACAAAGACCGCACCTCTTGTCCGCCGCGAAATTGTTTGGTCATCACCGAAATATCAAACTAAATAAAGACTTTTTTATATTGTAGCAGATGTTGCGACCTGTTTTCGATGAGATTCCCAAATATAGGCCGTGCGTATTTTAAATCACGTACGAGTTCACCTCTAGATGATTTCGCTGCAAAATGTTTCGCCAGTGTATGTCAAGGCTTTTCTCAGTCCATTACGTACCGATAATATGTAAAACACAAATAAAATATAATAAAATCGGATGTGTGTATACGTGTGCATGTGTTCGAACCATAAACGGTCGTACCGGCCTGATGTATTTACTAAATAAATTAAAGGAAACAGATTTTTAGCTGTTACGGTATTGTGAAATAAGTTAGTAAAATAATCGCCATTTCGAAGTTGCTCAAGTCATTATTGCTATTCATACAGTGCCGTTTCCTAATCGGTTTACTTTTTAAAGGTTCGAGGAAAATATTAAAATATTAAAAATGGATAATACACAGTGGCGGAGCAGATATCGCTGAAAGTAAATTAGAACAGCGTAATAAGTGAAAATGGTGTTATAAGTGGAAGCTTTTCTGTGATCCATAAATATTATCATTGCGATTAGCTGTATTAGAAACCAATTATAATTTAAACAGACGTATTTATTACTATCTTACTATTAATATCTTCCATTAAAAAACAGTTTTTGCTGTTTTTTTAAGTTTTTATCCTTCATTATAATTAGCTAAAATTGCATATACTGCATTTGTGGGCCAGATTCATTAAGAACTGTAGAAAAAGTAAACAAATATGCAATAGATCAAATTCTGTTCACTTAGATTTATTAAGTATACTTCTGGGCATTGTTATTAGAGGTGCATAAACTACTGTTGATTTGTTAAAATGTATACGACAGTTTGTGTTAATTTTATAAGAATCACTTAATATTTGTTGGGTTTTAAATATATGAAATAACTACAGACGAGTCTAAAATTATCTGTTTTGGCTATGCATGTGAACAGATATACCATCTTAGCTTTACTATAATAATTGAGTAAGTACGCGAATAGAGATACTCTAGTAAAAAATGTTAGAAACTTTTACAAAATCTAAATTCAGTAAAAAATCATATCAAATTTAATGCTTCTGTAAAAAATACTTAAATAAACCCAAAATGCGTTACTTTACTTAAGTTTTATATTTAGAAGTAGAATATTAAACGCATCGACCGTGCCTACAATAGTTCTTCCAATTTCATATTCAAAGAAAAATACTTAGGAACTACCTATGCAGTTTTTCTCTGGCAACTATTGCTTTACTAACATCAATAGTTGGTCTTTCGTTAAACTTGGCGGAATTGGAATATTGTTTTTTTGCAGAGACTGCTTGATCCAACTTTGGTTAGGTATTGTTCAGCAAGTGCACAGTGAAACGATGCATTGTCCCTTTTTATTAATAAGTGTTAATTGAATCATTATATAGCGAACTCCTTCACCATATTTTTGCCGATCTGTTTGTAGAGAAGCTTTTTTCTAGACGCTTCTTTATTAAATATCCATGTCTCGTCCAAAAATACTGGATCGAATCATGTATTTTCTCAAAAATGTCAAAAATGAGCAATACATGGTTGTTCCATCAGATATTTTGGGCTTGAAATACTGCATTTTTTCCAACAAAATTTCAACATCAATCAATTCAATTCATTAATTCAATTCAATTAATGAACCACGTGAAATATCAATACCATCGGTTTCGTGTAAATTTTTGCGTAGGAATTCTACTTTCGACTTTACGCACAAAGAAGCAGTGTCACAAAAATATGCTGCGTATATAGAATAAATTCGTATTCGTATGCTATGCTCGTATGCTTCATAAGGGGGTCTTCCGTGTGTTGCGATATGACTGGGTAGAACTTTAACTTTTTGTTCATGATCGGTTTTGATACGTCCAGAAACAAGTTTCTGCACCTATCAACCAATCATTTTCAGAAACTTAAATTGCTCGTTCATAAAAATGGAATGGTTTCAATATGGACACAGTAAATATTTGCATTGTGTATAGCGTTTAAGGGTAAAAGTGGTTTCCCCACGTTTTTTTCTCGAGTGAAATAATCCGAAATAAGTTTTAAAATAAGACCTTGCTCTTTTTCACCAAATTTTGATCTTGACGCGACTTTTGACACGGATTTCAAAACTGACAAACAAAATTCCTGTGTGAATTTATTAACTAGGTAAAGATGTAATGCTATGATGTAACTGAATAATTGCACTGACTGGGCTTTAGCTGTTTAGATTTACGCAAAAAAATGGGGTACTGTTAATAGAATTAAAAGCATACTTGTTAAACTTAAACCTATTCAGGAAAATAAAAAAAGGACTAATCATTTACGAAAACTTGATGAATTAGTATTTTCAGCCAAAGAGGTTTGCGGGTTTCTGAAAAACTGCATGCCACGAAGTTATTCACCAATGTAGTTTCTCTAACTTAATCCGATATTAAAAAAACTAAACCAAACATTTCAATGTAACCAATTAATTTCAAATAAATGAATGCAGAATCGACTAAATGCTGATGACTGTGGATTATGTAAACTGTAGCAAATATTAAAGAAAATAACGTTGTGCTGTGTCCAGTCTATAACCAGTGTATAACCTGGTAATATGCTATCCTATACTAACCAACCGAAAATTCGGCAGTAAATTGCAATCCTTTTTGCATTAGACTACCTCATACATCGCTTTCTACATTAGGATTAAAAAATCTATTTGGGACAAATCAATCACAAATCACAATAAAAAAATTGGTGTTATACTTAAAAAATCTAAGTTTTGTTTGAATAGCTATATCAAATGTAAAATTTCCTAAACCTTCCCCTACAACTTTATTTTAGCAGGTAGGAAAAAATGGTTCCGAAATTTGCTCTAGAATATGATAACATGATTAGCGAAGAAGATTAGTAAATATTATTACAGTAGCCTGCGAAAGTTCTTTGAAAAATTATTTATAATACTTCTTTCTCAAGGCAGAATTTAAAAAAATATATCACCTTCTCTTTTTCGCAGACTGATAATACTTTCCGGAATACCCCCAAGATTTATTCAGAGTGGAATAACCTTCTCTAAAATAAAACAAAACTATATCAATACTGTGACGATATGACCATTGTAATCCCTTAAAAAACTAGTGACGAAATCAATAGAAAAATTGAAATCGCTATACCAATATTTCCGACCTACTTTATAAAAAACCACCTTAAATCCTAAAAATACTTTCGCTCACAAAATTTCTACATACAGAACTTGGTCAATTAAATGTCAAAAAAACTTAATAGTTCATATATTGAAATCTTCCTTAAATACCTCTTCTCTCTTTAACATGTTCAGCAATATCCTACCATAACAGCAGCAATTTCATAAGTTGGAAAAGAGCAGTAGACTAGGCAAGAATTTTTGTCAAACAAAAAAGAGTCTTAAAAAATCTTAACTCTACATGGGGATTTATTTCCTTACTATTAACAGATATTTATTTAATTAAACTATTGATACATATTAATAGAGAATAATAAAGAAAGAAAGAAGACAAGGAACAAAAAGAACTTTTAGTTAAAAAAAATTGCCATTGCCATAAGACTTCACCTTTTCATTCCGGGCAAACATATTATAATATGAAAAGAAATATAAACGAAATTCAAAAAATATTTAAAATCTTTACTGACAACAAATGATACTTATAACTTGTCTGAATATGAAAGTCATATGAACAACAGATTTGTATTCTGTGACATATTTGGGCTCTTTGTTTGTTGGTCTTTTATTAAAAATACTCAGACTGCTATTTTTTCTGACAAAGCTTTCTCTTGTTATATCGATATTAGTGAATAAATGTTTTGGCGCGCTTCACAAAACTGAAAAATTTATCGTTTATGGTCCGCCATATGCAACACCTATCCTAATATACTTGAGCTAAAACATATAATTATTACAAGTAATTATAATTTTTTAGGTTCTGACCGCAAACATTGGCACTCTACTAGATCTTTACGGTGTTGAAAGAGGTCTAGAACATTTCCGAAGTACCACTTCGCTTCACTTCGATCAGTTTAAATACTACCTTCAAAAGGAAGTATTTTCCTCGCTACCCAACAAACTGCACTTAACAGAACTGAGAGATTTCGAAAGTCAAATATCGGAGGTAAAATTATGACACAGTGGTATAATCATAGATTCAAACGGTACCTTTTTTTAGGTTTGTTGGCTAGTTTGCCGAAAGAAGTATCTAAACCGAGAAAATCACGTTTTTACCTGTGAAGTAATATTCCAGATCTATCGGATATTTTGCGTTTTAGGAGAACTTGTTCCTGACCAACAAAATGAGAATACTTACCAGCTATTACTCCATCCAAGCGAAGTAAGTGTATAAAAGCTCCGTTTTAGTTAGATTTTTTGTGTATATTTGGATTTCAAAATAGGTGTGCAATATTGCACAAACACTGGCAGGATCCTTAGGTTGCACTTTTGACGAAGAAGATTTTACTCACCTGAGCCTTTCTATGGGCAATTTCAGACTTACTCCCTTTATCGCCGTGCTTGAGTCAAGATGTCTGACAGGAGTAAACGACCAGGTTGCTATAAGCGAGGCTGTTACGGACATTTATCAGAGAGTGGTCGAGGACGTCCTCAAGAAGGGTTTTTTGACCAAGAGAGGGTAGATTATTAGATATTTTATTTAAAAATTAACTTATCGTTCAATATGGTTTGAAGGTATATTTTCCCGACAATGAGGGAGTATTGGTTCGTCCTAAGGCCCTCCGAGCTAACCTATTACAAAACCAGATCTGAAAAAGATAAATGCGGTGCTATGGCTATTGAAAAGGATAGTCGAGTAGAGCCGGCCACAGGGTATAAGATCACCTTACATACCCCTGAAAGAACGTTTGAGTTAGGTTAGGTGATGAAATCTTTAAAAGTAATTGAATTTAATATATATTTATTTTATAGGTGCTTCTGATCATATGACAAGGCTTCAGTGGATATCAGCCCTTCAATTAGCTGCCGATCACTCCGGAAGCAACCAGAGTTTTCAAAGACTTCAAGCTGCGAAGCGACGCCTTCAACGACAAGGTCGCGTACAAGAAATGCTTAGAGCTAGGTACCTTTGGCGATAAGTTCGATACACTCATTTTGATGGCTTATAATTTTAGAGTACAACTCCAGAAGGAAAGAACTGCGAGACAAGTGGCGGAAGGACAGGCCAAGGAACTCGAAGCCGTTGTTAAAGAAGAATCGAAAAAACTGACTGAGCTGGAAGAAATTAAGAGCAAATTAGAGAAACTTCTGGAAGAGGAAACTCAAGCAAAGAGGTACGTTTATTTCATTGAAATTTTGAGATTGAGTATTTCTAACTTCTAGGGACGAAGAAATAGTTCGATCATTGCAAGCAAGAGTTCTAGCTGAAGAGTGGGAGAAAAGGGAAGAGTTGGAAAGACTTCAGCAGGAACAAAAGGTACTTCTAGAAGAGGAAAGGGGCAAACGGAAGGAATACGAAGAAAAACAAAGAGAAAAGGAGGATCAATTAAGGAGTACGTTCCATTCAGTTTTTAAAAGTACGTTATCATTACAGTTTATGCCTTAGATGCGGAAAGGAGGTTAGCTCAGTTAGAAAAGGAACGACAAGCGTTGGATAAAGAACTTAAACAAGCCAGGGAAAAAATCATTTATTCCGAAGGCAGAAAGGATCTTCTTGAAGCTCGGCTTTACGAAGTGGATCCTCTTTTGCGAGCTGGTGACTTAGACGGACAGAAAACTGAGCAGAAATATTTTTAAATAATTTTTTGCAGGTGATAGAGTTCGAAGGGCGCATTCTTTTATGCCTAGCACCAAGGAGAGGCCAGTGTTATTAGAAGTTCGGGCTGCTACCTTGAGGAGACCAAACAAAAATTAATTTCATAATTTATTTTTAAAAAAAGACTGCAAATGTGCTCATATAATAAAAAAAAACATTGTCAATTGTATATCAATCAGTAGGCAAACTATCCTCAGTATATAAAATTTTCTCTAAAATTCATTACACAAATTTTATATTTGTGTAGGATAATTAATTAACAATTGTATATTTTGACACAACTTTAACTTATAATTTATGAATATATGTTAGGGAAAGTCTATTAAACAAAGTAAATTAGTCTGTTATGCAACCTAAAATAAAACAATATTTAATAATTTAATCGTTTTTAATTATTTTTTGTAATAATCTAGTAATATTCAATGTTTTACTTCCTCGCTGTAATTTTCTTGCGGTCTTTGGATTTCTTACCTATAAACAATAAACCATAAATTTTGCAAATTCCATTCGATCATGCAATTAAATTCCTTAGGCGGAATCAAATGATTTTGAACTCATTAATACTGCGATGTATTTCCTTTTGCAGAACTCGCTGTTTTTTCTTCAAAAATAAAACTAAATGCATAAATAAACTGTTCTATACTATTCCTATTCTACAAAGTAACTAAAACTAACCAAAACTTTGGTAGGCTGCACACCAAACCTGCATTCAAAGGCGAAAGCTTGATATAGCAATAAATCTTCGCTATAGATAAAACTTCTTTCATTTCTCGCATTACCATTTTCAACTTTAGGGAGTTTTGTTTGTCATTAGTTTTGGTTAGTTTTGTAGCATGAGGACAGTTAAACCTTGTCGTCGAGTCTCACCTTTTTTACCCTTCCGTTTGGCTTTACGTTCCCTGTATTCCCTCCAAGCTCTCTGTATAATTCTGGCACAGCGGTTCACCAATAATTTGTACGCCATCTCGTTGTAAATTCTTTCCTCTTCTTCTTTCTTCTCTTGCATCAACGCAACGTACTCCGACTCTTGTTCGTCTATTTCGTCTTCTAGCTGTTCCAGTGCAACTTTTTGCTGTTCGTACCTAAGCACACATTATGAATTGTTTTCGACGCGGATACTCAACAGCTTACTCTGTTATTAATTTGTCATATTCGGCCTGTTTCTCTCCGATATCCTGATCGTATTTCGCCAGCCAGTTGTGAAGTTGCGTTTCGGTTTTCAGTCTATTTGATCTCAGCACTTTTTCATCTAGTAAATGATCTTCGAGAAGCCGATCGTATTCTTCGGTTAATTTCTTGACTTCTTCGGCCAGGTGGATTTGTTTTTCCTCACTCTCGTAACATTGCTGCATCATTGTTTTTTCCGATTCGTGACTAAAACAAAGGTGGAAGGCAAATGATATGGCGCACTAAATTGTGCTAGTACTACGTTCTACAAGTCGAAAAACATATCACGATACTCCCAAACTACAACATATTAGTTAACCAAAACCCATCAAGGATTTCTAGTAAGTAATAAACTTTTACATTGTTGTGGAACATTGCAGTCGCATTTTTAAAAATAAGTAACTACTGTGCCAAAGAGCTGCCATAGTTATTTGATATTCACTCCTGATTATATACCTACAGTGTCTTTTCAATGTTGATTCTGAACTCTTCCTTAATACTTTCAATCTTTTGGTTATATTTTTCAAATGTGGCAATTTTGTCGCTCAATTCCTTGCCGAGATGTTTCCGTTGAATTTCTATTTGGTTCTTCATGTCTAAATTTGGCAGATTGTATTGTTTTCTGATGCGCGTTGCCAATCTTACCGTTTATAGCTGCGGCGAGTAGCACATTGGACTTGTATGCTTGTCTTAACTGCCTATCTCTGGCCTCCTCCTCGGTTCCTGTGACGTATAGTTTTAATTTGGCCACTTCTCTCAATTCTTCGAGGCTTTTAACGAATTCCGATATGGTAGGATTGCGTTTCGGTTTCTTAGAAGTTCTTATTGCGTCGCGGATACATTTGTTATCGACAATTAAATCGATAGCCTGACCTAGCATCGGATCCGGGCTATAATGGGCTATTTTATTACTCTGAGATGTTTTCTGAAAACATTATAACAGGCTGTAGTTAAAGCTGGCTAATAATTACATGCTCTAGTATTAATAATATACTACTTTAAAATAGCCAATTGTTGAGGTGTCATTTATTAAACTTGTTAAATAATAAACTATTTTATCAATGAATTCGATTTTTTTTTAAAAGAAAGTTAAATAGGAATCTGTTTTTTTATGAGAAGTTATACTCATTGATATGATATGATGAAGTAACAATAATTTTGATTTCTTTGGACCGATTTTTTAATAAATATTGTTTTGGGCAGTCATCAACATTTGTATTTTTTTGCTTAATTTCATTGTTTTACAAACAAAGCGAACACATGGGTTTGGAGTTTTTTGTATTCATGTTCTACTGAAACAATTTCTCAAAATCTTGCCTATTCATACCACGATGTAAGTTAGCCTCAGCATTTCATCGGCAAATGCTTCTACCTACAGTTCAATGGAACCCTGTGTCACCCCAGAATGTAATAGTGTATTATGCAACAAGTGCGGTAAATAACATTTGACCCACGAGTTTATTTGACACTAGCGGAGCGCAGCAGAGTGATATTATTAACGACAAAGTAATCATATATCTGAGTATACAAAATTCCCTTTAATATTTTTAATAATAACAATAATAATAGTCTGCATTGAGAATTCAGATGCGTAATATACATAATACAAACATTTTTGATATTACTAGAAAAATACTGATCACATGAAGATCATTTAGATCTGTAGGACTACTTTTTTATTTTATTTGTTAATGATGAGCAGCATAGTGCTAAGAAGATACAAGTGCATTAGTATTATTCAACAAATGAAAATAATTTAATCAAACAATAGAATTCAAAAGAATAAATTAAGATTTTCTTTACAGCATAAAGTACATTTTGTCTTAAACGACTTGATGGAGTTCGAATTCTTCACTATTCGGCATTCATTATAAGGCAATTCGTAGTAGAGAATAAGTCCACTGTAAAAACATCATTATGGCCATAGTTTGGAGGAACATAAAAGTATTCTCTGCCTCGGGTTGGATAGTTATGTATGTCTGTTATAGTAATTGTATTTCTTGATAAATGGAAGCAAATTGTGTTTCATTTTATATATAAAAGTCACTGTGTTAAGTCAAATAAATTATTTTGCACTTAATAACCCTGTTACTTCCAATATAGTCTTTATATGTGTGTAACGATGCTATGCTATAATGCAACTCATGGTTGGTTTTGTTTTTTTCTAAAGTACGCTTTTCTCTGTCATATTAAGCAAGAAGAGTATAGACGAACAATAGTTAACATGTGGTAAGATAATTGACTTATATATTGTTAGTTACGAGCAGTCACTAAGATTCTTCATGCTTAGAATCAATTATAACACCCAAGTTCTGTTACTTAAAATTATTCCAGTGTGACTTAGTTGGTAAGGCATTAAATTTACCTTTAATAATCATACATTTGGCATCAACCACTTATAGAAAACTTCCATTTCTTCATTTAGGATTTGTACTACCTTATCAACATCATGTCCCATTAAATACAGCTAAGGTATCATCAGCAGGTAGTTTCTTATGTGTCGTACAATGTCGTTTATATAGACAATAAAAAGATTCGGCCCTAATACTGTTCCCTGGGGTACACCAAATTGATTTTCCTTTGCATTGATGTATATTCAAAAAAAAAACCTTATTTCCTGAATACGGCTTGATAGATAGTTTTCAATCCATTTCAGAAAAACATCCTGAATACAATATTTTCTTAATTTTGTAAGATTGTAAATTTTAATGTGAGAGTATGTACCTGTCTATTGTCTCAAAGGCTCTTCGAAAATCCATGAAAATCACTCCTACAATTTTCATTTTCATTCATAGCGTTTTTCGAATTTAATAGAATACTTTGCAATGCGCTTTCGCAGGAATTGTTTTTAAAATATTGTATAAACTGCTTATTTACATTTTGATACAAACCTCTTTGTGAAATTATGCTTTTTAACTTTTATTAATAGAAAATGCTTTTTGACATATCAATATTAAAATCACCAATGCATATAAGACAAAAAATAAGCGTCACTGCTGGCTGGTGAATGGTACAGACTAAATATTAATAGTTTTTAGTTGTTTATTCAAAGTTTCACACCTGTTACCCACACATTGTACTTAGCAATGTTGTTAACTGCACTTCTTCTTTAACATAAATTATTGCTTCTCGTGAGCGCCTGCGGTCTGATATTGTATTTATGACGTTATATCCCTCAAGAAGCCTACTAAGGGTTTCCAATTATTAACAATTAAAGTCATTTCAGTATTATGTACAAGTAGGCTTTGTATATTTATGTAAATTTTGATTTGATTGCTGTTTATATGAAGGCTAAAAACTGGGGTAGTTAATTTTTCGCTCCATTTTTGTATTCTTGTCATGTGCGAAATGATTGTAGTGAACATTGGGCACTTTTAACATATAAGCTGCATACTTACAGTCTGTACAGACCATTTCTTGAGATTCACACTAGTCTTTCTTTTGTATTTGTATTTGTGTATGTATTGGAGTCCACCTCCTTTGCCTTTGAAATGTGTTATCACAGACATATTTCTCACAGCCTCTTTTCTGTATGAAATCATTTCAATCAAGAGTTTTTCATCTAAGTTTAAAATGTTTATTCTTGGACACTTTTTATCGAGAATTTTTACATCAAAGTCTTCCTCCAAACTTATCTTGGATACCTTTTGAAACATTCACTAGATCTTTCTGTAGTTTAAAGCTTATTGCAACTGCTCCATCTTTAAGGAACTTCATTCTTGAAATCGCCGCCTTGATTTTTCCTGGATCAATATTTTCTTCTATTTGTGTTTTTGTAGGCATGCTTTCCTGAACTTTCTTCTCATCTCACTTCTCACTTCTCCTTTGGTGTCAATTAACTTATCTTTACACTGCATTGATGCAGGCTCGTGTTCCCTTACATTACACGGGAATTCAGCTCCAATACCTCCGCTTCTGATGATGTTAACTACCCACATAATTTACAGTTTTTCGATTCGCAGATATAACATTTAAAAACGTCTGTTTTCTGTTATTTACAAACAACACACTGAATTTTATAGGTTTTGGCCAGTTGCTTTCGGAATGATATTCCCCATGGGTCAGAAAAGTAGCTTTTTATGATGAAAGTTATATGTTTATCTATCAAATGACTTCGATATTTTAACGTCAGTGGTCGAATATTCATTAGCTAATACTAATAATTCCAATTATTTTTTTCTCATTCTGATTTATTCTTATTTATGGTTGTAGATCACCATAGGTAATTGTAAAATTTCTAACAGTTTTTAAAGTACATTTCATATACTAAAAGGGATTGAACTACGCTGTATGCACTGTAATGGAAAATTTGTTGCATAATACGCCATTCTAATTTGTCATTTCATTTCCCAATAGGATATATTCAAATTACATTTTCGTGAACAATTTTTTTTGAGTAAAAATTTTTTTCCTGGTCTAGTCCTTGCTTGCTTTAATCACACACACGGTATACCCATAATTAATCATAAGTGCGTAGACGAAATTTTCGTTATCTCCCCTAAGCCCTAACATAGCTTTCTAGTGGAAAACACCACTAATATCAGAATTTAAATTGACGGGGCGTTAATACACTTTACGTGTCGAATGTCTTAGAAAATATAACCTAACCTATGATTATTTTCATGATGGATGTTTGTTTTCGCTTTGGTGTTAGAAGCGTTATCTAAACGGCCTTCCTGTGCTTTTTTTTTCAACACAAAACCGAAACTTTTCCATTGATCTACGATCAGGCTCGTGTCAATCTACGCTATTTACTTACTGACGACGTAGTTGCTTTTTTAATTTTGGTTATACTCTCGATTATGCGGCCGAAACTTTGGGGGTCGGCATTGACATTGGAGCCCACATCGCATCCGTATTCCTGGAGCACATGGAAAATAAAATTGCGCTCGCTGGTGGGCATGCTTTTGCGAATAATGTCCCCGTCATTTTCCAAAAGAAGCGGTAAATGTGCCTAAAAATAAATTATACGTTTTGGTGGACGTATAAATAATGAACATTGGAAAGCTTAGAAAATTCAACTTCACTTTATTTTAATGAAACACTATATACGTATATTTACCTAGGATCAATGCCCCTTGAAAAACGCATGGTTTATCTGTTCAGGCATTTTTTAAATACCTCAGATTTATTACTTGAAAATATTATTTAAAAATCAACATCAGCATTGCCTTGGAGAATTAAACTTTTTGAGCTGCCTAATAATTTACCGGATGTCTCGGAAATTAAAAAAAAAGAATAAGTACATTGGCTAATGCTCAAAACTATTTTCGATTTTTTAGATTCACTCCCATTGATTTGTACAAGATCTGCAAACGGACTGACTAGCCCTTTTGTTGTTACGTAAGGCGTTTTTCAAAGGTAGTCCTTATCCCCGTTGCTCTTTCTATTTATCTCATATATTGAAACATACCTTAAATCTAAAACAAAATACGTAAAATGACACAGAAAAAAGAATGCTTACTTTAAAAGAAAACATGGAAGTTGTTAATTTATTAGCTAAAGGAAGAGTTTCAGCTCGTGATTTGCGAAGACGCAAGCAGTTAAAATAACTAAAAGTAAAAAACATATCAGAAGTAAAAGAAAAAGTAAGGTTTTAATATAGACAAAATATGTTTCCAATGGTTTGTGTAAGCTAGCAGTCGGAACATTGCAATGAAAGTGAAAGCTAAAGAAATCGCGACAAATTTGGGTTGTAAATATTTCAGTGCCTCCGACGGGTGGCTTCAAAAGTGGTGCAAGATACATAATACTAGTTTTAATTGCATATCTGGTGAAGCTGCTGCAGTAAATCAAGTAGATGTTGAACAATTTTTCGAGTAACTGCCGTCTATGTTGCTACGCTACCCTACTTTTTTTCCGCGCGTTACCGGATAAAATTTTGTCCTCTCAAAGGAAAATGATGTTTGGGAGTGTGGGTGGAAAGTTGTCTAAAGACAGACAAACCATTGCATCTGTTGATAATTGGAAAAGCTGCTCGTGCTTGTGTTTTAAAATATGTTGCTATTTAAGGATCTTCCAGTGACTTGGAAATCAAAGAAAAAGGCATGCATGACGCGAGAAATCATGTCTGAATGATTGCTCCAGTTCGAGCGAAAAATTGGTATTCAAAAAAGCGGGTTTTTTTGATCTTGGACAATCCCGGCTCGCATCCCAGTGAAGCGTTGAAGCTGAACATGTGAACATTATATTTTTGCCGCCAAACACAACTTCAGATCAAGGCATCACACAAAATCTCAAATTGAATTATCGACACTTGATTTGAACAGAAGGTAAGAGTGCAGACCCATATATCCAAACGACTCAGAAGAAGAAGCAGAAGTAGAAATGTCGGCAGTATTATGCAGTTCGAAATCAATAAATTCATATGGGAAAGCTCTAAGTCATAATGAACTTTGTTAGGGATTATTTCTCTGCATTTCAACATCTAAAAAATCTAGAGAGTTACTATGGAAATGGTCTCCTTCAACACAATAAGGCAAGGTTTCGTCAGACAAACATTTTAGATTTTTTTGAAAAATCCATATTTTTAAAATTTATTTTTTACTTATTTATTATTTACTTATTTGTTGTCATATTAACATTTGGATGAAATACCATACTTTCAATACTTTAAAAATGTAGCGTATTAACGTTTTTTTTTCGCCTTATATATATACATATATACTTATGCACATATTTATATGTGCACATATAATGACATCTATTTATATTTATTATAAGTCCTTAGTGCTCTCCTTTAAACTGACAGTTCCCATATACGGACAAAATTAGTGGAACCGTGTGTGTCCGTTTATGGGAAGTTTCACTGTATACTTACTGAGGCGTTGTTTTTATTTTTACCATCTCTTTTTAGAAAGATGCCCGAAAACGAAGTAATGCTGGCAACAATGATGTCCTGGGGAGCCAGGAAAAAACTCTTTGATTTGATTTGCCGGATGTCTTGCTACACGAGGACCTAAATATTTAGACATTGTACAGAAAATTAAAACTAACTTTGTTTACAGAAATCAACTGCCTCTGCTTTTGTTAGGCTTGAAACAGGATCGATTCATTTAGCTTTTATTGTTTTCAAAATTGTTCTAAACTATCTCATTGAATTTCACAGAATAGAAAACACACGATTTCCTAAGATCTATTTTACCGACAAATTCATATTCTCGATGCTACTTAAACAAAAGGCGTTGCAAGCAATTTTTTTTAAAGCATGTGTTTAGATATCTGGAAAACCGCAAATCTGCAGCGTCTAATACAGCAAAACCTATTCTGCTCGAAAAAATGCTAATTAAATTGTTTGAGTGTTACATTGCTATTTGCCGCCCAGTCCAGCATATGCCAATTCTTATTCTGATGTCACTCACAACTTGTCCTCAACGGCAGAATACTTGGTGCTTCGCAATCGAATATTTATTGACAGATTTATTGCTCAAATAACAACGTGGAACAAGTTATCTCTCTACTTAACCTACATTTATAACAACTTTTAAGTAAACTCTCAAGAAAATTGCTCGTTTGTAATAGACATAAACTAGAAACTCTGGCCATGTTCTGTCAATAGCTTAAAAAAGCTAGCTTTTTTCTGGCATAATCTATTTTACCGGTTGTTAGCAAGGTCTAATTATCTGATCTGATTTATTATTTAAGATACTAAATTATATTAATTATGCAAATAAAACATGAAATGATAGTAATCGAATTTAAGTTTCTTTATTTATCTTTATTGCTTTTTTATTATATTTTTAAAACTTTCAAATATTTAATATTATTATTATTTCAATATAAATTAGCTCTAATTTCTCAAAATTTTTAGGACCGGGGGGGGATGGTGATGTCCATTGTTAAATTCAAGTAAGAAAAAACTAAAGTAAACTGAGCTAAAGTAGTGTAACTTTTTTTATATACAAAGTTTATGCCATCTCTTTTACTAAACGCTCTAGGCGAGTGTCAAAATCTAAATGAAAACCCTGTACACGTTTTCTGATTGCAAGTAAATACCAAACGCACTAGCTGTGAAATCCAAAATATATTTAAATATTTATATAGGTTAATATGTCGCTAATCACGAACGGCAAAGACAATCCAAATACATAAAAAACGCATTTAAAAATTTGTTATAACGCTCTTTCCCGAAAATAATCACACACAAAGCAGCATCTAGCAATAAAGTTGTGAAATAAAGGACTCAAAACACTATTGAAAATTTTTTCTAATCATATAGCGGACATTGGCACTTGCCTCACCATTGCCAACAACAGCAATAGGAATAGTAGGAAGGTTTTTTTTATAAACATGAATAAAAGAGAAATTTGTAGTAAATATTTTTCATTTATATATACGTGTTGCTTTAAAATACAGTCGTTAAACATTGCTGCAAAGGACTTCCGCCGTTTCCGCTACTCGGGAGCGATCGAATGTTCTTGGTAGATTTAAAAGAATGGTTGTCAGTTCTAGGAGTCACGTCATATCTCACTCAACTCAAAATCTAATGGTCGTAGAATAAGTGTCGCATATAGCATTTTGTCAGCTTTTTACTTTTACTTATAAAAAAGAAATCTCTCACTCTAGTTGTTGCAATTTTTAATTGGTTTAATTAAGTATGCATTGAGAAAAAGCCAAAAATTAAGAAGACAGAAGGTATTTTTCGTAAAATGAGCCTGAGCGTAGCAGCATATTTTAAAACTCCCTGTATATTTATGTTCACGACAAAAAACTTCAATGTCAAGTCAGTTCTTATATTTAGAATTGAAAAAAATTGGCTACAACGGAAACCAGAGTTAGGACATTCTCAGATGATAGTATACGATATATATCACAAATTGCTGTAAGGTAGGAAATATTCTCTACAGAAACCTGTTAGCAAAGCAGAACGTCATTTAAAAAAGGGGAACTAAACTCAAATGGCAGAAATATGGTTATTTGCTCAAAAAAATTCTGTTTATCTAAAAAAGTGTGCTTAATAGGATTTCTTAGACCTTAAGATTAAACCATGGACCAGAAAAACCCATTTTACACATACGATGCTTCCTTGCTTCAAACAGAATTTCCTTATTATTAGTGTTTTAGAAACGTTTTTACTATATATTTAACTAGTTATTGTTTGTTTATTAAAATAACTTGTGTAGCGTATTTTACAATATATGATGAATTATATACATTATATCAACAAGTATGACGAGCTTATAATGCTAGATTGCACCGAACCCAGTATTTCTTGGCGAAATAAGGACTAATTATTTAAAATTTCTTTTAAAAATAAATAGTATTTGAAACCACTTCGCCTTTTTGTTTTTTGAATTCTACTCATAGCTTCGTGCCATAAATTATCACTTCAACTATTTGGTCGACGATAATGTTTTAATTTTTTTTTACGTTTTGACATTTACTTTGACGAGGTTATATCACACGGATCAGTAAATGAAGGCCCGTCATGGAATAATTGGGGGTGAGCCGACACGTTATTTGACAAAGGAACATTAAAAAAGCATTCTATCGATTACGACCATTTTAACTTAAAATGTATCCACTATTCGCGGAAAAAAATATCGCGATAATATGGCAATTTATTCAGACTTTTTTGGATAAAATGTGTCCTATAAATACGACACTTATCGCGTTTGACTCGTTAGTTTTCCGCAATGGCTCTCAGGATACTTTTCGCATTATGCATGATATACGGTACGTTGTCGAAGCCAGTTTCGAAGCAAGCCGTACAAGATGAAAGAGAATCTTGCGACAGTTTGGTGTATTGCCGCGGACAGCTGCTCGATATCGTTCAGAACGCCGGAATCTTCACCGATTCGAAGACCTTCGTAGATTTGAGCCAGAAGCATCCACAGCAACAAACCTTGCGAAACTTCGAAGAGCTTTTGAACAGGACCAATCGCAAACCGACTAGAGACGAGATAAAACAGTTTGTAAATGATAATTTCGAGGACAGCAACGAATTGGAAGACTGGACACCACCGGACTTTAAGGAAAACCCGAAATTCTTGGACAAGGTAAAAAACAAAGACATCCGGCACTTCGCTAAGGACCTGGTCGCCATTTGGGCGACTCTCGGTAGAAAAATCAAATCTTCCGTCTTCGAACACCCCGATCAGCATTCTTTGATCGGCGTCCCGAACGGCATAATCATTCCGGGCGGTAGATTCAAAGAATTCTATTACTGGGACTCGTATTGGATCGTTGATGGTTTGATAATTAGCGAAATGGTGGACACCGCCAGAGGTATCGTGGAAAATCTTTTGTCCATGGTGGAAAGGTTCGGTTTCGTTCCTAACGGCGGCAGAAAGTACTATTTAAACAGGTCGCAACCGCCTCTATTAACGGTGATGGTCGAGAGTATCTACAAAACGACCAAGGACGTCGAATGGTTGAACAAGCATATCGGTACCTTGGAAACGGAACTCAATTATTGGCTGGACAAGAAAACAGAAGTGATCGAAAAAGATGGGGTGAAGTACCAGTTGGCCCATTACATTTCGCAGAGCGTCACGCCGAGGCCGGAGTCCTATCGGGAAGACGTCAACACTTGCGCCTATTTTTCGGACAAAGCTGGAAAGGTAAAAATTTCTCTTGTTGGATAGTTTCGTTTGAATAATTTTATTGAACACATTTTAAATAGAGTGGCTAGTAAAAAAGGAAATATGCTTATACTTAATGCTACATTACGTTTCTTAATGCGTGAGAGTAATTAAATGTAAAAATGGCAGGAATCATTAAACAGGGTGGACAATTTTAAGGTTATATCGTAAAGTTTAGATAAATTGCAACGACAATTTAAGATAAATACCGTTTCTAAATTAGGGTTACACTAATTTGCACACAATAGAAAGACGAGTTTGGTGAATGAAGATAACACAACAGCGGCATATACCAGAAGTACTTTGTTAGAATAATAAATATAATAATAATTATAGAGATGGGCAGATAATTATAATTCTAGACAAAATAAAAGCTTATAGAAATAAGAATAATATAAAAGTATTTAAATGGTAATAAATATTATTTAAAAAAAAAAGATTTACACCACATCTTCATTTATAAGTTTTAGTCATTACGTTCCGAGCAGTCAGATGAACTATAATCGTTGGAATTCAAAGGAACTTATAAGCGACTCTACAGTATTTTCTAACATGTTATCAGCCTCCCACATTATCTGTTCTATTTCGATTACAGTTCGACGCACTTACTCCAATTTTCAGAATCCAGTGCTGTAAAAGTGCTGTTATGCCTTGCTACAAACTCTTTTACGTGCTCCCATACCAATTCTATTCGGTTTAATTTACAGTGATCTAGTTATATTGCGATTTCGCCGACAACAAATTTCGTACAAAAGTTTTATTCAAATTTACAATCTCCAGCATCTCTATCTGCAATTGCTTCTAATTTAAATTACACCAATGGATGACGGCATTTTCTTTAGAACAAAGCAATAATTTATTATCTAATTGTCTAATTAATGTTGTTACAACATAAGTTTTTTGAGTGAGTTAGTTCACGCAGAGGGACGTAATTATTTTTTACGAGTAAGAAACACTCGTGTTAATTAAACTATTCAATTAGTATGGGGCAAATGAATATCAAATTTATTTCTTTAAATGGTGAACCTAATTAATTCATTATTATTATTATCAATTATATTTGGTTTAAGTAGGAAAATTAATTGATTATTTCAATTATTGTTTTTGTGGAAAGGCAAAAATATCTCTATTCTTTACTATTAAATTTTTTTTTTAATTAAATTAAATTCTTTCTAAGCAGTTCTATTAATTATTACAAGAATATTTTTTTACATAAATTATTTTTATCTAAATACTTCTACCCTAATCTGCATTAGTAAAATCTTATTAATTTCTAGATTTAGATTACATTTTATTATAGTACATATTTTTAAATGATTAAAGTAGGAATAATTCAAATTGCAAATGGGATAGATAAAATAATTACTTTTGCAGAACTTAGCGAACGAACGAACAATAAGTTTATTGTTGTCCGAATAAATTTCTCCCCCGCTTCTTTCTTTTGGAATTAAATTAATTAAAAATCCACAAACAATTATTGTCTCTGTGCGGTGGTGTGGTTAGATTTAAAAAACGGTCTGATGGGCTTTTGAATTTTTGATATGATATTGTACCACCAAAAATATGGTGCATTTATTGCTTTGACGTTTTAAGTATTGTACAGTACCTTAACTGAAGATCTTCGCAGGACCGTGGTAAAACCCATCCCAACAGATGTTTATTCTCCATTAAGTAGGTCTTGCCTGAGATGGACCAAAAATAAAAACAAGTGACATAGAACCTAATAAATTGCCACTTTGTACTATTTTTTTATGTACATGTTTCAAGAATTGCTCGGCGAAAAAGATTGAAAACATACGCTTGTTAGTGTAGGTAGATAAATTCCTAGGACGGTCCTGTGATGGTTATGGGTAAGGGCAGTGATGGGGAAACTACGGCCCCCGGAAAGGTTTAATCCGGCCCGTTTAAGAGCGCCGTCGTGAGAATGTTTGAACAATAAGATTAAAAAGTACGAAATTAATTTGAGAAAACTATCTTCAAAATTTGAAAGGAGATTTCAGGACTTTAGGAAAATGGAACCAGAGTTTAGTATTTTTGCGACCTCATTCAATGTTAATTACGAAGAAGTTGATGCAAAATCTTAACTTGAGTTAATAGAACTGAACTGTAATACTCTCCTGATACAAATTTTTCATACAGTACCATTACTACTACTATTATAAAAATTTAAGTCCAGATAATTTCCCAAATCCGAAATCATGCAATGAAGATAATTACAATGTTCGCCTCATCTTATATATGCGAACAAATCTTTTCAACAATGAAGCTTAGGAAAACTTCTTTAAGAAACAGAATTACAGATGAGCACCTTTCATGAGTTTTAAGAATTTCTGCTTCGCAAATGGAACCGGACTATGATGAAATTTTGATAAAACAGTCTCAATTTCATTTTTCTCATGCACCATCAACCAGTAATGACACCAGAAAATAAAGTGATATTTTATATTTTGTTCCTTATAGTTTTCTTACCTTTTGCTTTTTTACGATTAAAATAATAAGCGAATGTAATAATATATGTATATGTTTATAAAACACATACATTTTTTAACGATTAAGCATTATTCTTTGGCCCGCTACGATCGTCCAGTTATTACAAATGGCCCGTCTTAAAAAAAGTTTCCCCACCACTGGGTAAGGGTCTGCTCAGCAGGGTGTTCTATAAGGGGCTGTGGTTTTGGATTAATAAACAGTAGACAAAGTTAATCACGGGATCGGTTGTAAAAGCACTATAATTCTGGTCGAAGTATACTTCGTAAATATTCTTTAAAAAACGTGTTTACAATGATTTACATGCAAATTAGTCCCAATAAGCTTTTCTCTGTTTTTATTGATTGGCCGTTCCATAAAAATGATAAAAAAATATATTGCTCAAATTTTTAATTTTCAAAAATTATAACCCCTTGATAATGAATTTCAAAGATTTTTCTTAAGAAGTTGTTGCTTGTGGAGCCTCAATAAAATTTTTGGCAGCCTCTCCAAATAAGGTTGTAAAAAATAAAGCTAAAAACTTTTACTACAACTTTTTTTTACATCTGTGTCAGGTTATGGTTGTCCAGAAGCTCAGGCTTTAAAACTAATAGGATTATGATTGCGATTTTTATAGGTCTATCAATTATTAGTACTATTTTTAAAACACATAAGAGAAAATGCTTCGTAGTACATTCGTGGTTAAGACCAAATGGTCTTTCATCATTTTTATTTATTTTTCAATGCTACCATATAACTCCATTCTATTCCAGGAACACTGCTTCCAAGGCCTGAAAAGCGGAGCCGAATCTGGAATAGATTTCTCTAGTCGCTGGTTGTTTGACGAACATGGCGGCGACAAGGCGAATTTAAGCCACATAGACGCCCAAAGAATAATCCCCGTGGACCTCAACGCGTTCCTGTGCAAAAACTTCGAGCTACTATCCGAATTTCACATCGTGCTGGGCAATCCCGAAAAGGCGGCCGCGTGGAAAGAAAAATCCGAGACTTGGAAAAAATCGATCCAACTTGTTTTGTACGATAGGGATGACGGTATATGGTACGATTACGATCCAGTACTTCAAAAATCGCGTAAAATGTTCTACCCCACCAATTTCGCTCCCCTGTGGGCCGGAGCGTACGACATCAAAATTAAGAATGAGTACGGCAAAAGGGCGGCAGCATATTTTGAAAAAATGCGCATCGGAGAGTTCAAAGGGGGCATACCATCGTCATTGGAAAATAGCAACGAGCAATGGGACTTGCCCAATGCTTGGGCTCCCGAACAGGAACTGGTTATTATTGGACTTTGGTAAACTGATTCATTTTTTGAAAACAGTTATTGCTACAACATTGTGCTTTTTAGGAACACGGGTCATTCTAAAGCGAAACGCTTAGCCAAGCAATCGGCGCAGAACTGGGTAGAGTCTACTTTTAGAGGATTCCAAGAAACTCACGCTATGTTCGAAAAGTACGACGCTACTAGAGTAGGTCAATATGGCGGGGGTGGCGAATATGAAGTTCAAACTGGCTTCGGCTGGACCAATGGACTTTGTATCAAGTTAATAAATATGTACTATACATGCGATTCCTGTAAAAGCAGCAAAGAGAGTAAAGAAAAGAGTGGAAGCGGAAGTAGTAAATCTTCAGACAGTGACAGCTCCAACAGCAGCGATAGTGACAGCTCCCATAGCAGCAGAAGCAGCTCCGATGAAAATGACACTTCGAGTTCGAGTTCCAGTTCGAGTGATGAAAGCGGCAGTAAACGCCATAAATAAGCGGAGCAGTTATAATAAAAAATAAAAATTAATAAAATTGAAATTGAAACAATGGTTTTCTTTGTTTATATTGGTCAGGCCTTAAATATCAAAATTTGCTACTAAGTTAAGTAATTAAGAAAATAAAACTGAATGAAGAAATAGGTCATCATAATTTAAACTAGCGTAAACTCAAACTGAACACTTTAAAATTGAATTGCTGAAATCTAAAAATTTCCAGTACCACAATTTTAAATAATAGTTAAAAATAACTGACTTTTGATATTTATAGTTTGGACAATCAGATCTTTGGTTTGATCCACCTATCTCTTCGGTGACCTTCCGCGAGGACGCTTTTCCTCTAGCTTACCTTCGACTATTAGTGACCTGTTATTTTTGCAATATGACCGATGTATGCTAGAAAATTTCGATTTGTCCGTTGGGACAGATTTAGATGAGTATTTAATTTTTGAAGAACACACTCACTTCTACGATGGGTCGTCCAGAGAATCTATAGCAGCCAGACCTGCAATTGGTCTTCTTCAGTATCCAGGCTTATGCACCATAAGTCGCAAAGTGAATTGAAAAATCTCAACTTAGTGATTTTTTATGACCATATCTCCCCAAATCTTACTTATCTTGGTTACGGCCGTTCGAACCAGTGCAATTCTTCGCTTTACTTGCATGTATTTGTTAACCACCTCAAATCCAAGTATGGTTTTCCGTGAGATTGGTTGTCATTTTGCCGATCTACAATCATAACAGTCGTTTTCATTCAATTTGAATCCAAATTCGGTACTAGATTCCTGGGGACTATGCATAATAAATTATAATTGTTCCACACTTGCTATATTAGCGTGTCGACATATCTCAAATTGTTCACTTCAATTGTTCCTTCCCCCCACGGAAATACCAACTTGCCAGTATTCGAGAATGTCACCCATTGTATATGTTAAATAATTAAGGCCACACCCTTCCTTACTTGAAACTGCTTTGATGCGACATCGTTTATTCTTACAATAAGTCCCTAGTTATTTACATAAAGCTGATGGATAAGTAGGATTAACTGGTCAGGGTGACTATATGCCACGTTTTTTGCTATTGTACCAGGTTGAACGTCTTAGAATAGTCGACAAAGCAGAGGTACATTTTTTTGTTAAATTCTCGTGCTTCCTCTATTAATTGTTGTACGTTTCCTATTTGTCCTGTTGAGCACTTCCGCAATCTGGGGTAGTAGATATGGGGTCTAAGTCTGCTAATGATGATAATAGGATAATTACTACATCTGCCAGATTACCCATTTTATATAATGGAACATGAAGTGAACTACACCATTCATCTGGCCCGATTTCTGTCTTCCATATCCGATTGCACAGAAAATGCAAATTGCTGACTGTCTTAATGACTTCAGTATCTCTGGAGCTATATTTTCTATGTTCGGAACTTTTTTTTGAGGCTTTTTCTTAAATCGCGTATTGAACTTGCGATTTAAGAATCTCAGGTTTATGATCAGCAATCTTTGGATGGTTAATGTTGTTCGAGAGTTCATCATAGCTGTATAGTTCTTCTCACTCTTCTTGTGTATAATTTGTGTAGGGACTTGAAACTCACGTGAGAGGTACACCGCGGATTATAATAATACCAACAATCAAAAATAGAACCTACTAGACTTGTTATATATTAAATAAGAAGCTAACAACTATTTCTTAAATATTTTTTATTTATTATGTTGTATGTATTTTTTAAGCGACAAGTGGATAAAGGAAACAACAGGAAAAATCACACGTTTGTCAAATATTATTTCAGAAATTAGTAAATATGAAGAAAATAACGAAAAATTTATATCAAAAATCTATATTTTATTTTAATTCTTTTGCAAAGTTATGCAGATGATGATGGTTGAAACTGATTTAGGATGCTCACAATGTTGTAAGAAAATGAGTTTGTAAAGAATTCTTCGTTATTATTAGGACACTACCACACCTTAAATTTTGGTGATTCTTTCTCGTGTACGAATAGCATAAATCAGCATTAGCAAACAGCTTTGCAATTTACAATTTGCAAACCGAAATAAAGCAGTTTTCGATTGAAATAGCCCAAACCTATTTTGCTGGTAACGTGTTAAGAAAATTTTAATCTGTTATTCCTTGTAAGGGTAGATTTTTTAAGAAAAATTGAAAAGGTGGATCGGTACGATCTATGATCAATGATTAAGTAAGATTGACCCGATGTACCTCGCTACGAATAAGATATGCTACCGATTTTGAAGAGTCATTTTGTAATTGATGGATCTTCAAGGTCCTCATTGAAAAGAGCGCATGCTTGTCGACTTTCTTCCGGAATAAATGATAGTCGCAATTATTTATCCTCTGCGTAAGTATGACTACTACATTGACTCAAATATTTATGAATGATTAACTACTAAGATGAACACGAATTCTTAATCCTAGTTAGTACAACAACTGTCAATGGGAGTTTTCATGTTATGGTCTGTTCATAGAAATAAGAAAGTGACCAATTGCTTTTGAATGGGATTATACAAGGGTGATCATTAACATACAATGCAACAAGATTATTACCTAAAGTTTCGGAATTTAAATTCTGCTGACATTTTCTCGAGTGTAGATGAAAGTGATCATGATATAATACGGGGTAAAATTTACCAGTTATACCACGAACAAAGCGTTCCTACATTAGATATCTTAATTAGGAGGCTTAAAAAAGATGAAACCGGCATTAAATGTGGCAAAACTACCTTATGGAAGTGTATTCAACACATGGGTTTTAGATTTAAAAAAATTGACAAAAGGCAAGTTTTATTGGAATCTTTTAGAATTCGGAAATGGCGACTGGAATATCTGGAAAAAATTAGGATTTACAGAGAACAACAAAGGCCAATTATTTACTTGGATAAAACCTGATTCGACACCCCGGAAAAAGGTTGGGTTTAGTCAACTGATAAGTGTAAAACAAACGCGCCATCAAAAAGAGGTAAAAGAATAACTACTTTGCATGCTGGCTCTAAGGATGGTTAGATTCCAAATAAACTTTCTCTGTCTGCGAAAAATATTAAAGATTCTTCTCTGGATTACCATGAAGACACCACCGCTGGTTTATTTGAAAGTTGGTTTAAAAACAAACTAGTACCAAACATTCCTCCTAATAGCTTACTTAAATATTTGAAGCTACTAGATTTGCGACTTTGAATACCTTTTTTGATATTTTGGCAGCACAACAACTAACCAACCCTTGGCAACAGGACAATTTATCCTATCCATATTATAAACTAGTACTATCCAGGAAGGTTTTGTTTTTGTTGGTAGCCGCCTTTTTAATTGAATAACTAAGGAAGATAGTTAAGAATATTAACGCAAAATTGCTACTTACCATTACGTTTAACACCGAAATGGTTCTATTTAAAGCTCCTATGGCCCTATCCGCGCGAATTCTAAGTTCCATATCGACTGGTGAAACATTTGGTGGTTTTTCAATGTTGATGTCGGCAAAATTATCAACCTTGTCTCCTCGTTCGAGTACCGAATTGAAAGGCTTGGGCGGTTTCCTGTAAAATGTCTCCATGATTTGATTCAAGAAACTTGACAAATCTCAACCTCAAGGTTTGACACACTCGAAATTATTGTCTTTGATCTATGCACATATCCTGGTAAGGGGCCGACGCTCTTTATTGATCAAACTTTTTGCGTAGCAACCGACAAAATACGAGAGTGTAACTCGCGGTTATCGGCTTCAAAGTGAATTTATTCCTACTGCAGCAATGGCCGGGAAGAAAAAGAAAACTCTGGCCAATAAATTAGCCAAAATGTCCGACGAAGATCGGGCGAGGTACTTGCAGCACCGCGCTGAAGTGGAAGAAGAGGCTAGGAGACGAAAGGAACAATTGATTGCTACGTTTATGAAGGTAAAGTCCCGTTACAAAAATTCTGCGTGATCTAATTTTCATGACACTCTGAACCGCAAAACCCTGCATATTACTGTAAACTGCTGCTAAGGGTGAACAAGAATTGTGAATTGCCCTCAGGCGTCGATATATTGAAAACTAAAAAATATATCAATTTCTCGAGAATGGCAGATGAGAACTTTATGGAAAACATAAAAGACATTGTGATGACTTTTCAGAGGCGACGATGATCAACCTAAAATATTTTCGGCCATGTTGCTGCTTTTCCGAAAATGTAGCAGAATATTTGATATTTCCTTAGACACATTTTTCGCTCTGTTATCATTTCTTGATTGCTTTTGCATAATATCTCGCTATACTATATTGAATAAAATACACTATATTATTGCAACTAATTTGCGGGATCATTAAGAGAACTTTTTAAAGGCTTTTCAAGATATACAAGAGTACCAGTTAGATAAGAAGTACCAAAAAGTTTCCGTATATTAGAATGTTTGACATCACTGATTGATATTTTCAGATTTAGATACCTTATACTATTTTATGACTATTGCGTGACTTATATATAATATCAATCATGCCAATATTTTGACAGAATATAATTTTCCTACTCCCTTCCGTAAAATACCTAATCATACACCGATTCAGCATGCGAAAAGCGTCACTTTACCACGTGAGTTTCTTGTCCCACGGATTCGAGCGGCTTGGGACATTTCCGAGATATTACCGCACGAGTTTGGGAGCAATCGAATGTTTTCGGAGATTTTGTCAATTCTGACGGTCATGTCAGTGAATGTATTCGTGTTGTTTTGGAGAGATGTACCAAAAACAAACAGTCGTAGAAAAAATACTTTTTCTATGACTGTTTGTTTTTGGTATGCAACACGTTTGGTAAACTTTTTAAGTGACGCATCTATTAAACACCGCTCCGCTCCTCGCAAATAAACTAGTGACTCAATTGCAGTTTACCACACTTGTTGCATCATATTCTATTTTATGTATACAAAAGCATATATAAATAATAAAATTAACTCATTGTATACGTTAAACAAAATGTATTGCTAATATTTCGATAGATTGCCACTAAAATAACAAATATTTCGATATGGTTTATAAGAAACGTATTTTTTTATGTGGCAACTTTACAAGGAATAAACGCTCACACCCTACATTGGCTTAGATTTTAACATCGGCCCACGTGTATGTGCTCTTTTGCTTATTTTTTTATGAAAAAAGTGCCAATAATACAAAAATATCGCAATACTGTCAAGTTTGCGAAGGACTTGAATTCCGAACGAGTTGTCCGTTCCTATATATCTATACAAATCTAACACGCGTTTCATAGACGTGTGTACCTGTTTTGTGTATTTGTCCTTAGTTTTATCAATTGTAGATTATCGCTACAAATGTGTAAAATTGTTTTAATTTAACTGTTTATAACGTAACTATGAAAATTTTGATATTGTTGCATTATAATCTCACACGTTAATGCCTGTCTTGTGATGATTATGAATAACTTATGCGGTCTTTTAGTTAGATATCTGTGGGAAAAGTCGGTTATTTTGGCATAATTCTCTTGGGTAGCCGAATCAGCTGTTCCTTATACAGTGTCACTAAGAAGTGCGATGTTTCTTGGCCGACACAATGAGGATCGAAAATAATTTTCAGAATTGTTAGTACCTTTAATTGATTATAGAACAACTACTACGTTCAAAACTGCTAAACGGAAATATTATCCAAAAGCAACCAAAAAGCGATGGAGGAGCAGAAAATGTTGTCATTGTCATTTTCCATAAATGTTTAATCTTTTATCCACCGTGAATCCATGCCTTTCCTCAAAATTGTCTAAATAAAATGTTTTATTAATATTATTATTTTTTTTTATATATAATATATAGATAATATATATAATATATATAATATATAGATAATATATATAAAGAGTCAATCTATCAGCCTTTATTGTTTCATTTTTACATATTTTTTTAAATAATGAGGTTTTGCAGTTACGTGTATTAGATTGTATTTGTTCCATAACATTCCAGAAAAAAATCAAAAAGGAAGAAGCGTTTGCGAGATTGAACACGGCGAAGATAAATCAAAATTGGCATCAGATCTTGAGGAAGATTAAGGTGCAAGAGATGAAAGACGACGTAGATCACCTAAGAAAGTGGATAGAAAGGACGCTTAGCTACAAGAACCAAAAGATTTCGAAACTTGTGGAAGATCTGGACGAGGCGGACAGTCACTACAATAAGAATTTTGCGTCCCACTCTACACATCTAGATGAAATTATTGGTAATGCTAGGTACTATACGTTTGCCGCGTGCGTAATTATTTATCCGTTTTCAGAGAATCAAAATAAATACATCGAAAAGTTGCAAAAGCAGTACGAAACGGAGCTCGACGAATTGTTAAAATCAGCCAAAACGGAAAAGGAAACTTTCTCGACGAATTCCGCCAACGAAATCGAATATTTGAAAACCGTAACGTACGGTCAAAATTCGGAATCCTCGGATTTTTTGCAGAAAAGGCAAGAACAATTCAACCAACAGTTATTTGAGATTAAGTACGAAGTAAGTATCAAAATTGGCAAATAAAAAGCGATGTTCGGTATAATACAACCTAGTGTATATTAGAATTTTTACACTTGCACATAAAAATTAAAGCAGTTGATAACTTAAGGATTCATGTCAACAAATTCAACAGATTCGGTAGCAGAAAGATTTCTTCTACCACGGCAAGGAACCCTGTGGCCAGTCGTCGCAACTTGATCGTCCTTTTTCAGTTAAACATGTCACTAGCTTCGTGGAATATCGGCAAGCTTCCTCGGAGTCTTCTACAATCACATTTTCATTTACCCTGATTTATTTTACTTACATGCCAATTTGGTGCAAATTTATATGGAAAATGCAGTGCGTCCCACTTAAGAACTGTACACTCTTTTAGAATTTTTATTTAGGATTCGATTTTAATTTTTTTTTTTTGGATGGATAGGTCTCTGAAAAATGCACTATAACCTTGTTTTGCTTATTGCGTCAATTTAAAGTCATGGCGAACTCAGACTATTTAACAAAATAGGGGGAAGGGAGAAGTGCTATTAGGGATTTTTTGAAAAGTAAATTGGCAACGAATTTTTATTCAAGAGTACTTAAACCCAACTATACCAATTATTTTTCATTACAGCGTGTTTGAAATATCGTTGAAAAATCCATGATTACTCTCACAAACGCACTAAAACCTTATGTTACTTATTACATCAACCTGAAGGCATGGCTAACTAACTAATGGGTCAACGAATTCTTATTCAGGACTACATAAAACCTAACTATTGTAATTTCCATGAAATTCGAATACAGAAGGTTTGTTTATGGCTCAATGTTGATAATTCTTTCTTTTTTGGATATATGTTACTAAAGAGAAATGAAACGGGTTTTTCGTATAGCATCGACTAGAGTCATGGCTAACTGACACAGTATTTTTTAGATTTTAAAATTTGTATAATTAAACTTAATAAACAAATTTAAAATATAAATTAGCGACTGAATTTGACTGTCTAATATTTGCCTCTCTGTGGCAACTTTGGTTTTACAATTGAAACAGTATGGTGACGTCAATAAATTTTGATATTTGTTATTTTTACTATTAGGTGAGACTTAAAATTCCTTCTTAATTAAAAAAATGTAGATTTGTATAATCTTTTAGTTCATATTAAATCATCTTTAATCATATTTAATTTTCTAGAAAATCGTTAGTGTCCTTCAGTGAAGTCAATCCAATAGAAAAGAATTATTAAAATTGAGCCATAAACAAGCATCTTACTGGAGTAATGCCTAAGCGAGACGCCCGCGATATTTCCAGCGCGCTGTATTCCAACTTCATGGAAATTAGTATAGCTAGGTTTTATGTACTCTTAAAGAATGAGCAGCCTCCATTGAAACATTATAAAAATTGGTATAGTTGGATTTTAAGTACTCCTGAATAAGAATCCGTTGCCATTTTTTTTAAATCTCTAATAGTACTTCTCTTTTTTCTCTCTTTTGTTAAATAGTCTCAGTAAGCCATGACTTTAAGTTGAAGCAATAAGCAAAACAAGGTTTTAGTGCGTTTTTCCGAGACCCATACGACAGAAAAAAATATCAAAATCGAATCATATACAAAGATTTTACAAGACTGTACAGTTCTTAAGTGGGATACACTGTATATATGACAATAGTAATAATAATAAGATAAAGATATATATGCAATAAAACTTTAGAAGAAGCAAACATAATACAGAAATACTTATTAAAGTTCAATATTAAGAAACAGTATAATTTATCTCCAATACCAAACTTATTAACGCCAAGAGGAGATAGCGTCCTCATAAGCAAAGCAAAACAAAGTTTTGCCATGACAACGCCAATAATTAATTTTTAGCAGTTTAATTTTTTTAAATTATCTTTCAGCTTCTAAGAGTACAATAATGCAATGTAATGAACACATGGACCAAACTCCTTACAGAGGTACGAGTTTTTTACGAATTTTTAGCATATTTTTGAAAACGCACCTCTCTATTTTTAGATTCATTTTTCTTCATTAAGATAAAAAAAATGAATAGCTCTGTGCATCACTATCTAGAACTGTATTCTTTTTATATTGCAGTTGTGCATTTTATAAAAAAAATCCAAAAATAATTTCCTCAAACTTTTTTAGAACTCATTTTAATTAAAATATTATCAGCCACTCTGCATGTTCTGCAGTAATATTCCTAATTAATCTATAAACTAATTTTTTAGTAGAATTTCAAAAATGTAAACTGTATCCCAAAACATTTTCGAGCGGTACTTCAATATTTGTTTTTGATGGTTAACCCTACATGTGCACGCAAACAAACAACAAACACCATTCAACGTTCATTTCAATATTTCCCACCTCCAACATCTAGAAATCTAAATATTTAGAAAACAAATGGCTGAAATACGCAAATGTATTTAGCGATTTCACCCCTTCGCCTATGGGAGATGCCCCTTAAAAAGAAAGTTGTCCCATTCGGTTTCGATAAAATTGAAAAAACGTTTCTTTTCTATTTCGAAAGTTCAATGTGTGGTCGGTAATGGTTTTCAAGTCAGTTATGTCCTCGAGAACAAAACTGCCAAGCAAAATATCACACAAACAATAAAATTTCGTTGTATTAAATTCAAAACACTATATCGATCTCAAAATGTTACTTTTGAATAATTAGGATCCTCATTTTTATTTGGTAAAATTGCGGATTTAAATGTGATGTATAGTACGGTTGTTAAGTTTATTAACTCTCAGAAAAGATTACTTTTCTGATCCCAGTTGCAGTTCCGGAACTACAGCACAAAAGAAATGATTATCAAGCAGATTGGAAAAAAAATTGTGAACAATGTTTAAGACGATTTCAACAATCAAATACCAAAACGAAGGCATGAGAACCACCTATTAATGTTAATTAGACAACTACAGGGTATTTGAACGATTTTTTGTTCATAAAATTTCGAGATAATGGAGGTAGAAAAACTTTGAAATGAAATTTCTAATTAAAATAGACTTCCAAGTAGGTACTAGCTAAGCATGTAAAACGGCTTTAAGCAACTGCTAGTTTTACCTTCTGCCATTTGTTGAAAGCATTCTTCGGTAGACTCTTTAAAGAGATCGCTCACTGCTTTTCCGCTGGCCCGCTTGACAAGCACGTCAACAAATTTTTGCTGATCTGGGAGTCCGTTAGAGTCCGTCTGCAAAATGCGAATTAAATTGGAAAATGGCACCACAAACGGTTTCTGCTACCATTTCTAGTTTCTCTAGAATACACTGCAAAGCGCACATGTCACCATCGGTATCATCTTCATTGGAATTTGTCTCAGCAGCGTTCGATTCTTCGGTGGTCGGGAAACTGTAGAATTTTCGGTTGTTGCCCATTGACGGTTCCGTATTTAACTCTTTAGTGGCCTTGGAACGTTTTGTTCTTCTAGATTTGTCCATTTTTACATCGCCGTTGGTGCCTGATATTGAAACGCGCGCTTATCCAAAAGTTGTATAACTTGAATAAGAGACGTCACCTTTGGTAACAGGCGTTTCCTTGGAACCAGCAGACGAGTCGTCAGATTCTATGGAATTAGCCGAATCCTGCAGAATTTTCTCCAACGTTTGGTTCCGCAGACATTGAGTCATCGCTTCTTTTAAATCCTCGTTCGTGTTTTGTCCAAAATCGCAATGTAACCCCTATTAAAAGAAATACGCCGTAAAACAAACAGGTACATACGGCATGGGTGCAATTTACCTCAGAACAAACGACACAGCAAATAGCGAAAATTCCCAAAGCAACCCTCTTCATGGTGGTTCAAGTATTGTCTTACCAGCAGCAAATAAACGCAACTGAAGGTCCACTTAATTATAATTTGTTTTTTATACCGGCTTTTCTGTAGCAATTTAGATAATTAAACAAACGATGGGATTTATGGCAAATTAGATCCATCAAAAGCCTTTGAATGCGGGTCTAATTTGTCATTCAGAGGATGTTGTTCGTTCTCGAAAATCCATTCGCGGCTGGATCGATCCACGGTCGTCTGATGACGGGATGATGGACTGTAAAAAATTAATTTTACGCGACAATGTCAAGCGTTACGTAAGTGGGTAATTGGTTGCAATATTGCAGAATTCTGCGATAATGTTGAGAGCAATGGCTATTCCGGCAATAGGAAACATTCAAATTTCAATGTCGCTAAACTTTAACAGATAACTCAGCAAGTTCTTATCTGATACCGAAAGAAGAAAAGCTTGTACAATGTATATAATTAGCTGAAATATTAAAATCAGGATGCATTTCCCTATTTAATTAGATTTTTAAATTCGACACTTACAACTTTCAGGTTGCACACAATAGAACATATGAAGTCTCAATTAATGAAAATTGAAGTACACATTAAATCTTTTAATCTGTTTCAATGCAATAAGTTATTTTCTAAGCATCTTTTTAATGGGCTTTAACCATTTCAGCCTCTTTGAAGGTGGGTCCAAAAATACACCATACATTCGATTAGCATATATGTTTGACAAAAATGGATCCAACCCTGTGTTCTATTACTTCTAACTTCTTTAGTATCATTTCGTGTGACACCCTTACTATCTAATCGGTCGTTAAACCGCCGTCCACGTAAGTCCTTTTGCAAATATCCAAACAAATAGTCGCTGGGGGCCATATCTGGACTATAGAGAGGATGATCTATCTGTTGGAACCCACACTCTAAACTGGCAGCTTGTGCAACACCAGCAGTATGGGCATTATCTTGCAAAAGACGCAGGCCTCTGGTCAGTTTTCCTCGACGTTTTACACGTATGCTGTCTCGCAATTTATGTAATAATGTTGCGTAATATTTATGTAATGAAAAAATACTTGAGTGTATATTAAACTCGCTAACTTTAATGAGATGTCTCTATAAGAACAATATTCAATTGTTTGTATCACGAAACATATAATAATAAATGCTTAAGCAATTTGATCCTCGAAAATGTAGAGAAAGTACTAAGATGATTTCGTTGTACCGTACACAGTGAATGCATTTTTTTATTTGGTTTCAGAACAATGCAAAACTCAGTCAGTTGAGTAAAACCTGCGGCCAAACGCAAGCCGCTATCTGGCGACAAATCTTCCAAATTACGAAGCTTTACGTTCAAGGTACCAACACCAGAAGGAGCCACTTGGCTGAATTGCAAAGACTGGATGCCGAAAGCGCCATCGAAGTACAAGCCAATGAGGAACGTATAAACGTTGAGGAGGTGAACGATATTTGAAAGCTTCTCGTTACTTGGAGTATTAAAATTCTTTATTCTTCTAATGATCGAAAATAGTTAACGCTTTTATCTCAATTAACATTGCGTATTATAATCAAAGAAAACTCTTACCATTTTCAAAAACGTCGAATTAAAAACATAGAATCCTAAACAAAAATTGCATTGTTATCAACTACAATATTTCGGGATTATTTATTTTTGATTGAGGATAAGTATAAGGATAATATAAGTTTCTTACATTTTTTTCCTTCCTGTTGTGGTTATATAAATTTGAAAGAACACTTTAAAAACCACAAAATAAATTCTTTAGGTGTGTTCACAAAATACGGGACTCGACGATAGCATATGAAGTTTTCAAAATCGCATTGCTCTCGAGGTATGAATCCAGGCCCTTCGACTACCTGAGAGAAAATTCTGGCGGTTTGTTTTGTGATAAATCGCGACAGTGCTCCCCATATAGTGTCCACAGCAGCCAAAATATTATTAACAAACAATGACAAAGTGTCGAATGGTTATCTTGAGTTTTCAGGTTCTACATTAACAAAAGAGTTAGAATGTACCCAGCACCTTCGTAATATTGTTGCTATGAATGCAGTGCAGGTTTACAATAGTTTTCGTTCTTTTCTCATATCCTATACCTATTTCATAAAATATTCTTGCTTTCTTTTTCTGTGGGGGTATTCAGTAAAAAATGTATAATATGAATGATGTCACTTAGTTGATCGCTATTTAATGATAGCCGTTACTTCAACAGTACTAGAGATTTTTATGGAGAAAGTCCTATAAAAGTTTAATCATTTATAAGCAAAAAAATCTGCATACGATAGAAATTTGTAAAATTCCACGTATTTGCAAAAATAGGACAAAACTACAAAATGACAAGGCAACAAAATGAGAATACAAAAACGCGTTGCCTCGTGATTTTACTCTCGGTAACTTCACTTCAAATTAAAAAGTCCTATGGTTGCCGAAATGAGTATTTTCGACGGTATTTTTAACGGGCTGTTGGGAGTTTGATATCACAATCACTAATCAACTTGTACTTATTAGTAAGCCATTACGGACATGCACCCTTCAAGAGATTCAAAGAAGAACCGTCAAAGGAAAATGACTGTGCGAATGATTCAATCATTGAGATTGAATTAGATATAAATTTATAAAAAATAAGTAAAAACGAGCTACTCTGTATCCTTATAGAAATTAACACTTTATTGCATGCAAATGTTATAAAAACACATTTTTTTATCCACGCCCATAAGTACAAACAAACATTATACATACAAGAAAAGTACGTGATGGAATTAAAATATATATTATGTCAAATTATTTAACTTTAATTAACTTTAACTTTAATTAACTAAATTTAAAATTAATTAGTAAAGTTACCAATTAATTGTTAATTACAGTTATTTTACATTAAAATTTCGACGCCCATCTGCCTCTTCTCAATATGCGCAACCATTGCGGCGCATCCCGCCGTCACAATAATTTTAAATATTCCAGCAATGCGGCTTGTAACGCAGAAAAGCGTCCGTGAGATTTCCGAGGGTCAGGAGAACATGAGGCGTAAGAGATAAAGCGCGATTCCAAGATCGGATGCTGTGAAGCTTGACGACTCGAGAGTGTGTTGGAATCCGCATTCCGCATTCGCTCGGCGCTTTAATGATTCGCCGTTTTTTCTTCGTTGAGTGTACTTCTTTTACTGCACTAATTACGTTTTCATAAAGCAGATGATTAAAGTGCCACCTACGGAGCGACTGAAGATTGGGACCTTTGCAGTCATAACAGATACAAATGTAACAAGTTTGCTAACCGCTGCTGCGGTTAACCTTTAAAATTTAGAGCTTACCTAAGTTAATCAATCGAATTGCCTAATTAATGATTAAATTAATACTATAAATAATATTTGATGGTAGTATTTAGATGATATTTGTTTATAGTATGTAGTTCTATAATACTTTCAAATATACAATATACAAAATACATGGAAACGTATAATGAAGGGTATCAATTAAATATGTACTTGCACATATGCGTATACTCATTTTTTTTAATGCGAGAGAATAATAAAATGCAAATTATTTACAAATTTTCAATTATTTACAAATTTACGAATCTTTTGGATTCCTCCTACGTCGGTTGTTGATAAACTGAATCTGTTCACAGATTCGGTTTAGCTCTGAAGAAGCCAACGGGATGATTGGCGAAAGATTTGTAAATAGTATCACAGTAGTCTATGGAAAATTAAAATGTAAATTTGTAATTAAACAGGGTGATTGTAATGATACTTTTCGATAGATTTTTGTATTTTTTCAAATCAATTCTATTATTATTTCACAGTAATAAGGAGATTCTTCATTTCAGATAGTATTTTGTCTAGGTTAGGTATGTACCTTTTAAAGTGAAACAAGTTATCATCCACATCTATTGCAGTTTCTTTTCTTTCTGTACTTCACCTGGTCACCTGAAGGCCAATGGAACAAGTCGGTGTATTGTTGACCATCCAACTCCAGTCATTTTCAAACATTTCAACTAATTTTGCAATTGCGAATGTTGAGTTTCGCGGCAAAAAATCAAGAAACATTTTCATTTTCATTGTCAATAACTGGGGGAAAGTAACTATAATTTTAATTTTAAGCTACAATTTAATAATGATTTGTAACTCGAGTTAAAAAAGCAATAGGTATAGCTAGAATGAGGTTTTCAAAATTTGCCATATTGAAAACGGTTTTAAATATTAAGGATTTATGGCTATGTTTGTTATTGTCTGTTTCTATGAATTCTGACCTATACATCATCATTATCAAACACGAAATTTGAAAGATTTTGATGACATTGCTTTTAATGTTTTCATGATTTATTTAATATTAACTCATAACACAATCAATATTTTCCAGGATTTGGATTGATTTGTTGATATGAAGTTATTGTTATTACCGGTATTCAGTTTTGTTTTTAAAGAAAGTATCTTTTCCCTCCACTAGGTTGACAAATGCTGCGAACTGGGCTTTTCAATGAATTTTTATGAAACAAAACAAACTTTTATCTATTTTCCATATCGTTGACACTTTTGTATTTTGCGTGTTTCTTTCGTAACTGCGGATATTTTTCTCATTTGTTTTTGTTTTTATTTTTTAGTGCGCCAAAGAAGCGCCAATAGGTTCGAAGCATAAAAAAAATTTAATTATTTTATCTGTATTTGGTCAATTTTTCTGAGTTTCAAATTTTTAAACGTTTAAATTGTGGTGTGTTCGAAACTTCTTTTGCAGAGGATTGAATTTGCGCACATTGAATACCTTAATTTTTGTCTAAAATACCGAATTTATTCGGAGCGGACATCGGCACTGGAACTTTTATGGCTTCCCAGACTCCCACGCTGTTTTTTTACTGTAAATCATGCCGCGATGAAAGTTAACGGGAGCGTGTTCAATTGTGTTAACAGCCTAACGTATATAATAGGTATAATAATAAAACAAAATTTAATAGACGTTATCAAATAAACAAAATTTTATTGGAATATGAGAAAACAAATATTAGACGGTACCCTACGTTTTGCATAATGTCTGATGCTTACCTATATTCAACCTAAATACTTACTTAAAATAAAATCTTACGTTCCACTACTCGTACAGGAAATCCATTAATATAGAGGAGGACGTAATGTCAAGACCCATACGTAAAACACAAAAATTGGCTATTGGCAACTGTCCTGAGGATGGCACCATAACAACTGATTTTAGTCCCATTGCATCAAACCAATTTATTAAAAACTGTAAAATATATTTTCCATTTATATTGTGATTGTGACTGTTTGCCAGGAAATAGTATTCTTTCGAAACTCTCATGACCTCTGTGAGAAAGCACATTTCTTCAGTGGCTTTACACTCAGGTAGGCTCGATTTAAATGCTTATCTTAAAACGATTTTCCTTTTTCACTCGATCGATCATTTGTAGTTTTTACGAATATTAAGAAGCTTTTAAATATCTTTAAAATTTTTGTCATTGTCATTTCGATTTCTAGGCATAATACGTAGTTTAATATGTTCGCCTCACTTATAAAAATAGTAAAACTGCATACCCCAATTAGGTGTACTTAAAAGGCATGAAAGTTATTAAAAAGAAGTAAAACAATAACCCTAATAATCTTTACAGTCTTGAGGCGGCTAAAGCTTGGTACCGGTAACAAATTTGGAAACATTCGAAGAAATTTCATTTAAAACGCAATCAGCATATGGTATTTGCAATGCCTTTAAGCCAGCAATCATTCTTCAGTTATTGACGTTCATAAATGAACCAGCAACCGGAATTTCAATTTGCTTTTCTAATACGACCCAGTAGCGTTACACAATTGTTCGTGTAAAATATTCTACCAAATATCGGCTGACTAAATTTGGTATTGCTTTGCAATAACCTTATTGTATGGTCTCCAAAGTTAGTACTAAGGTACCCAACCAACTAACCAAAACTAACACTGAATTCGAATGTTCTCTTAAATGACTCTTGAGAATATTTTCCACGAACTACTAATTCTGAAAACCGTAATTATTGAAAACTTAAAAGCTTAAGGCACACTTTTACACGTTGTCCTCAACTTAGAACCATTATGCCTTGGTATCGTAAATGAGTATCAGCTTTTGACACAAAAATGAAGTGAATACCAAGACCTGCTTCCAATGATCGTCATCAGAAGAGACTGGAGCAATATGTGACCAGTCTACCAGGAAGATATATGGTTGATTCATCATGCTGAAGCTTTTCTTTTGACATGAAAAGAATGTTGAACTAAAATTACTGTGGTTCAAGGATTAAGGGTGCAGGAAAAGAATTAATAGGCAATAATGTTATTTTACTAAAGATAATTCACGTGAATTCACCCGCGTACTTTGCATATAGACATATCTGCAATATCATCTTCAGAGGTATTTCATCGATATTTCTTCAAAAAGAACAATGAGACAGTAAACAAGCCACACAGCAAGAAATCAGTATAATTTTTTCCGGCAATACATTAATTTTAAGAAACTTCTACTACACCAGTACTGCCGGCTTTAGATGTAAGATTATCTACAAAAATTCCACATCTTTAATCATGTTAGTTCTATCTTCGTTATAAAAAGAACATGCAAACACTGTATGGTATAAAGTTTCATTTATTTGGGGATTACAAGCAATATAAAGTTCGTTAGTCTAAATTGAGCTAGAATCCTAGTTGTGTGGAAAAGTAAATTAGACATGAGGTATTTTGGAAAACTGCCATTAATATATGTTGTTGAACATCGTACAGCGATAATTTCGAGTAAAATCAAAGTCAACTTCAATAAGGATATCAGGCACAGTGAATTTTAAAGTTCTTGTATTAATATTTTTTCACAGATAGGAAAATCCGGTTCACATGTGAGGGGCCTCACGTGCTTCACCCAATTTTATGTAATGTCCATAGTATCCGCCAGTTGTAATTGGCAATCGAAACACTACCTTGGTAGTCTATCGGAGGCCCTTCTAAGTAACTGTACGATAAAGTTTAGACACACTTTTAAACAAGTCATACCACACTCAAGACCAAGAGAGTAGAAGAAGTGGATTTCGGCAACATTAGGAAGCATTTGAAGTGGTTAGATTGGGGTTTTTAAACAATATCAAAATAGATTAAACTGGAAAAACAACTGACAATGGTAGCGAAAAACCTGTATTAATACTCTCCAGGAGATTTAAATTTACAAAACATGCTAAAATTGCATGCACAAGACTTGAGACCTTAAGGAACTGAAAGCTAACATGAGGCTGGCTCAGGCTGCAATGCCTTGCCCCTTTGTGGTTAATTTTTTTTCCAAATTTAATTTTATTAAAGTTGTTGTTAAAGTGTTCAATAAACAATTAGCAAAATTGTAATTTTCATTATTGTAGTCACAGAAAAAGTTGTACAAGCTAATCTTATAGGGACAGGAACATATTTTAACTCGGAAACAGACGCATCCATGTGTTTCTAAATTCTTGACACGAAAGTAGAGTGAAAAGCAATTGTGAACTACATATATTCGAATAATATCGCACAATTGAAATTTGTAAAGATCAATCAATCGGTTTGTTTGGACCGTCACTGTCTGCGAATGATGCCAGATGTTTCGTGGTAAAAGTTCCCCGCGCCCATTAAGATTCTGAACTGGCCATTTCGTTTTTATTGTTTTTACTACCGCCATTTGTCGGTAATTTATAACCGAATGGACACGATTCGGTTCGAATCTTTCATTACCGCTCTTGTATTTGCATAAACCAATATTCCCGTACCGATAGGCGTTACAAAATACGCAAAACAACTGTACGGTAACGTTAACGGTCCGCATTTTTTTCAGGAACTCGTAAGCACCCTTAAAAGCAAGCAAAATGAGCTCCGAGAATCCACCGAACTTAAAACCAACGATCTCGATGTCGAAGAAAGACGACTGAATGATAAATTTATCGCCATAAAAAAACGTCTCAAGACCCATTTGGATGTCGACGACAAAAAGTTACGTCTGATGACGTTCGCGGCCAACGAAACGTTGGATCTTTTAGTGCAGCTTAACGAAAAGGGTCGGCATATAGTCGCCTTGTCGCAAACGTGTAGGAAATTCGAAACAGAAAGGGAAAAAGTGGCAAGGTTCATTCCGACTCCAAAAATTGACGAGGTTGACTTGAATATCGACCATGAACGGAATACACTCACAGACGACGAGAAGCTAACCCAACTGACACTACAAAGTAACTATGTGTACCATGGCGATGGTCGCTTTCATCGAAACAGAGTGGAGACAGCTATAGATATGCATTATAATGTCATTAAGGGCATTTGTTTAGCAGAAGTGATGATTTATTTACTTTTTGTTTGTATAAATTCTTCAGCCACTGAGTTGCAAGTTATAAAAATATATTTGAATTACTAAAAAAAGCCCAATATCTGTTTTAAAATTTATTGATTCAAGAGTATATCCGATAAGCGCATTATTTAATGACTAAAATCATTTTCATATTCAATTAAAAAAAAAAGAACGACAATACGTTAGAACTGATTGGAACGACATATTTTCTAATAAATTTAACTCATTTTAAGAGCACCGGGTTCCAATTAGTTTCAAAATGAGTTTATTTAAAAGGTGGTGTCCGTTACCCTAGTTCTCCCAATTAATTACAAAGTAGTAGTGCTACATCTTGATGAACGCGGCCATTGTGTTGTTTAGATTCTTAAACAGATATGAGAGGAAACTAGAAAAAAACGATTATCATGGATCAAGGTCATGAAATATCTTTTTTTTTTGTTTTCGGATGGTCTATGAAGTAATAGTGGTTATCACCAGCAAAAATAATATTTTAAAGTGGGTCGTACACAAATCGTTCCTCCGCCACTGGATGTTCAAAGAGAGTAACGCAAAAAATTGGTGAGCAATTCGCACAACATAACGTGGTAGTATCTCAACCAATTAGGTTCGGTCAGGCCGCGCGTGAACCAGTGGCGTAGTCAGAAATGTTAGGCCCGGAAGGCAAAGTTATTAGTTGGGACCTAAAGAGTATAAAACTATGCAGTGGTGTTATTGCGCTATTAACTTAGAAATCTGATTTGGAAACCAAATATGTTAATCTTACACGCGACTATAGTGAAAATTAAAAAATCCACTTTCTTAATCACTTATTCAATGTCAGAGACACTAATAATGCCCGTACGGTATTTTTGGTAAATAAAAATGGAACAGCAATGCAAAAACCTATTTCCAAATCAAAATTAACTACAGTGAATTCCGAATATGGTGAACTCGAAAGTTGTATCAAAATTGGTTAGTTAATAAATGAACTTTTGTACACACCCGATGTTTAACCGGTTAATGGAGATTATTACATAATATATAATATTATGTACGTTGGTTTTGTAAAAAAATGCCACGATATACTAACATTTTTCTAGATATGTATATGTATTACGTAATGTTGGAAAAGTGAAAATTAAATATCATTCTGTACAAAACAAGTAACAAACTTCCTCTTAGATAAACAAGTCGGATATTTTGGTTTGTACGAGTCTGTTAAAAAAGTTAATATTACTTATATAGGTTTCAAGGTTACAAAAAGAAATCCAAACTTTCTCAGGAACGTCGCATGACTCCAAAAACGTGCGAATCTCTATTATTTTTTCCGTCATGTCTTTTGCTGAAGGAACATTGATCGTGGTCGGTTCCTCAATAGCCTCTTCGTCCAGCTCATCTTCACTAAATTCTGCATTTGTTTCTGCAAAAAATAACGTAAATCAGTCATAATTTTAATGTTACATTTCATGTTATAGATACCTGTTGACGCTAACTGGATAATTTCGTCTTCTGCCAAAGATTCGGTTGGGATAACTTGATCGTCTATTGAAACGTAACTTTCGAAGTCGATATGTTCAATATTATTCCTATTCTCTGTTTCAAGGGCTTTCTGGGTGTCGGTATTTTCGGGATCTCCTGAATGTTTTTTTAGCCATTCCGTTATAGGCATGTTATGTTTTCAAAGAAACTTCCACAGGCTACTGTAATACTTTTTACAAAACTTCTGGATTCCTCCTGCGTCGGTTTTTGCTTAGTCGAAATTGCTGACGTTTCGCCAATCATCCTGTTGCCTTCTTCAGAGCTTGACTGAAACTGTTCTGAAGAAGCCAACAGGACGATTGGCAAAACGTCAGCAATTTCGACTAAGCAAAAACCGACCCAGGAGGAATTCAGAAGTTTTGTAAAAAGCATGTTTGTATCAGTTTGCGATAGTCTTTTTGCTACCTTCCTGCCAAGCACGGTGAATAAAATTTACAGCATCCAATAAGCTCACCGAAAACTCTTGTCCATCATCTTTATCAGCAAAATTTTCCTGTAGTGACTGGTATTGGGTGGCATAAAAACCAGTTCGATTTGGTTCAACGGAACATTGGGATGTACTGGATAATTATCTAATAGAAGAATAATTTTCCTGTTCTTCTTCAATTCTGTATCCCATTGGAGCAGCTCTTCGGGAAATAAGTCAGATGTCATCCACGCTTTGCGGTTTGACCTGTACGTGACTGGTAGGGTCTTGTTTTTAAAACATCTGATTTGCCAATAACAAACAGCTTTCGCTTTTCTGTCCCTGACACCTTTGAAGTAACCAGAACTGTTATTTTCCACCTGCACTTGAAATTTCAATGTCTTATCAGGGGTGAGTTTGTAGAAAAGGCCGGTCGCATCGGCGTTAAAAATATTGTCCCTGTCATAATTTTTGCAAAGATCAGGCCAAACCGTTGTGAGTCAGTTATAACATTCATATTAACTGATGCAGACTCGTCAACAATTTTTCCCCAAAGATACAATTTCTCTTCTTAAAACGTTCAATGCAACTTCTGGAACACACAAAATCTCTTCCTTTTATTCTACTTCCCATTTCACTTGCTTTTTGCTGAAGAATTGGACCACTTATGGGAACATTTTCTTTTCTTTTTTGGGTAAACCACTGTCCCTTATTGATGGCTTGATGAGCTGATTTTCTGAGCCTTTTACAACTTGCATTCACTTGACCATAGGACAAGATAATCCTATCTTTTTTTTCCAGGTAATGGAGACAGTTGCTTTAGGCAAATTCATTTCACGAGAAACATCACTTTGTTTCATACCACTTTTAATTTTTTGTGTAACATCGCATTTTCTTTCAAAGTTAATGCTTTGTGTTTTTGCTTCTCCATTTGAAGGTCTGTCATCAATATTCTCCACGAAATCTAAATTGCAACTGAGGTTTAACCTTTCTCCGGGGAATTACCGGATGAACCCCCGAAAAAGTTTTTAGAAATTTAGTTCGCTGTATCCGAAAGTTCACTATATCCGGGTTCACTATAAACAGCAAAAATTTACGTTTGTCTTATGAGACTTGAGTGTATTTTAAAATGTGTTCATTATAACCTAGTGTTCAGAATAAACAGGTTTACTATATCCGAACTCAACTGTACTTTATATCCGGCGATCTTTTGCTATTTTTATAGTCAAACATTTTGGTCCTCTATCCTCTCGCTGTTATAGATCCGTTCACCAATATTTTAGTGACACGTGCATTATTTCTTCTAGCAGACATGTGCAAAATCAAAGGTCGTCCCCAGACAGCGATACCGTCTAGATTTCTCGGCGAATCGTCAAAAATCGATTCCAGTGGCGTGCCGACGCCGGAAACTGTTAGCATCGCGCCGATCGAAGAAGTAACGCTTTTGCAAAAGTCTATCGATGTTCAAGCGACCTCGGATTGTCCAGTGCAACGAGATACATTTTTGGGAAAATGTTACGAGAGCTTGAGACGAGTGGAAAACTTCTGGAAAATGTACAACAAAGTGGAAATCGACATTATGGAGATTAAAGAGGAGAGGAAAGTGTTAACAAAAGAAAACAAGCAGCTCAGGGGCGTCATCAGGGCCGTGTTGGAGGCGGCGGCCCTAAAAAAGAGCAATCCGGAAAGTCGAGCTTCAGCTAGGGTGATTTCTAAGAGTAGGAGTGCTTATTCGGCTCCATGTAGGAGAATCGTGTTCACTTGAGATGCGTCGGGTAATTCGATTTTAACAAAAATACCACGCTAATAGGTAAATAAATAAAATAAAATGTATTTTTCAATGTTACAGCAATGATCTAGATCGAATAAAATGGCAGCACAGAGTTTGCGTCCTTATTTGCTTATGTATAACACAGGAATACGTTTAATCAAACGTTTACAAAAAATTTACACAACTAGTAATAAATTTACAACCGTTGCCGGATTAACACATAAAAGCAAAGGGAATGATATGATATTCTTACGTTATAAAGTTGGGATGGCGGTTATGAGTTAGCTATGATTTCATTAATTTTATTGATTTAAGACGACCCTGTATGTTAAAACCACCTAGAGGCTACCGTTACGTTAGAATATAAACGATTAAGCACATTTACAGAAATTGATTATTAAGTACGCGGCGGTCCTAAAAATGAGGAAATATTTACAGTTATTTACAGAAAACCATAATTCATTCGCAAAACAAGCGGCCGGCGATAACAATGAAAAATAAAAATGTTTTAGTTAATTTTTAATTGGACTACAGAAGAGCGCAGTAGAATAATTAAAACGCCTTCATCGCCATACAGATGTTTTGGTCTTTTAACAGTGACGTATATAGTTGTATTTTATTTACAATATTGCTTATCTATGATCACATTAGTAATAAAATACTACGTTGCTACAATTGGCCCTAATAAAAAAGAAACAGAAAAATCAATTAAAGCTGCAAGGGAACTTTTCGTTAAGCTTAATCTGTAGTTTTTTTGCCAAATATCAACATTTAGAAAGTAATGTGGCAAAAATCCCTTGTAATACACAATTCGCTTAGTCGTTTCATGCTACACACGAGACATATTAATAGGGTAAATTGTTTCTAAGGACCGCCTGCTTAATCATTTTGTGCTTTTCGCATTTTCCCCACCACGAGGTACGCACGCACCTCTTCTTCGGTTTGAGGATAAAGCATTTGGTTTGAACGACGTTGAAGAACAATTTCCCGACCAAGTTTGCGTCGCTCGACCGGACCATCTTCAAACACGTACGGAATCTGAAAAAATATATATAGTTCAAACACCCTTATAATATAAAAACATAAAATAAAAATTTTTAGGTTATTGTTTATTTTTTCTTAAATATTTTTGACACGTTGTTTGTATTTGTTGATTGTACCTTGTCCTGGAGCAAAAACTTTTCGGATTCAGTATTAATAAGAAAGAAGCAAAGCAGTAAAGAGCTATTTTATATGAGTTTATCCGTAACTTAAGAAAATAGTTTTTGGAAGAAATTTCAATATTTACAGTCCTTAGAATGTTTCGAACAATATAATCTTTTCGGTAGCTTTTAAACAGTGATGGTATTTGGGCATATGTTCCTTCTCATGGTTAGGTCACACGTCACGCAGATTTATAGTGGTAGAAAAAAATATAGACCCTCCGATCGTGGCAAAACAAACACGTACCTAAAGTGTAGTTTTGTAGATTTTTTTGACTCAAAAATGTAATTGTATTTATTATCCATAATATACCGCGTTGCGCTCTTCGATTACGAGTTTATCTGAATCACACGAAAAACGGACATCGTCATAAAGTTGCTGGAAATAGCATGGTAAGCAATCTCGAGGAGCATCTCCGATAAATATATCGTCACCACACAGTTCTCGAGTGACTATTGTCTCAAGCACCATTGGACATTTTATAGTTTTCAAACGGGTTTCGGCGGCCATTAGCAGAACTCTCCGGTTAGTTTATTTGAGAAATTCGGCCCCGTCAGATATTTTTCGCTTTTGAACTTCGCCTCGTTGAAATTTAGATGTTTATATCCGAAACATTGACATTCCTTACAAAAGATTTTTATGTTACCTTTTTGGAAAATGACATTCTCGGCCCCAGGAACACTGAAGGACTTGGCACTTTGCCGGAGACGGAGTAGATTTTTTCCTAATTTTCCTTCTACACTGAATAATACTTTTTTTTTCTTTTTCTACCACAGCCGAGTCTCTTTAGCTACGTTTTAGTTTAGGCGATTGCTTATTCTTAAATATTATTGTTATTCACTTAAAACCCTTCTTGAAATTAATGATGCTAAATTATTAAGAGAAATTGAAAAATTAAAAATTAAAATTAAATGATAAAAGACGTGATGGAAAAGCAGCTTGTTCAAGTAATTTCTCAAAAGTTCTATAAAATCTAAAGTTACTTATTTTAGATAAACAGTACAAAATCCGCCATCAAAATATTAAAACACGTAATCGAAATACAAAGTCTGGTAGTTTGATATATTTACATATATTAAGTAGTAACGCAATATAAAGTCTGACTAACTGATACGAATTAAGGAAAAACCCGGGCAAGCTGTAAGAATGAAATATGGCCGAACAGGTCCGTACTTTGCTTAGAATTTAATTATTTTGGGTTTTGTTAGGAAAGATACTAAACAATATTTATTTATTTATGTACGTATTTATGTTTAAATCTAAAATAAAATTACCAATTATTATTATTACCTACTTATTTGCAATATGGATATACGATTGTTCTGCTTTTTCTATATGTTTAACAGAATTTGCCAACTTTGAAGGAGGGACGTTAAAAACTTCGGTTTCTATAAGTTTGTGGACATTGGGGTTAACACGGGGAAAAACATTTTTACGACGAATGGCAGATTTCAGTTGGTGCCAAACATGTTCAATGGGATTGAATACGCTTTGTTCCTCGTATAACTCTTAAATTTTACGCCGTATTATATCTTGATCACTTTCATCTACACTCGAGAAAATGTCAGCATCGCTTCTTTTTTTCCTCGCTGAAATGGGATTATTCACAATTTTCCATACAGTTGATGTTGGAAATTTCGTCAATATGGCCGTTTCTTCTAAAGATGCTTGCTTGCTGGCACCAAGTTCAATAAGAGTCAAATAAACATTGTTTATAACTTCCTTAGTCTTAGAATAGTGTTTTCTACATTTGGGCGGGAGCATCTCCTGAGATACCAGACTCGCACATATTTTGCATAATTCGCTCACGATCCAACACACGCTGTGTTACACACGAAATAAGAATGATTACTAATAAACTTAAACTAAGTAGTACACCAAACCAAAGAATATTAAACACACACAGGTTGGTATAAAAATGTTTTCTATTACGGACCACAATTTTACCTGAATTTAAATTCCGAAACTTTAGGTAATAATCTTGTTGCATTGTATGTTAATGACCACCCTTGGATAATCCCATTTAAAAGCAATTGGTCACTTTCTTATATCTATGAACAGACTATACCTCCATTCATACAATATAAGTGCACAGCTTACCAAACAGGTCCGTCTTTGGAAAAATTATTGTCAATGCAAAACAGCAGAAGTAAAAAATAATACTCAAATCACCGATCGCTATTAGGGTTTAAAATATTCACTTTAATTACATTAAGACCATTCAAACTTTCTTATGGTAATAAATTTAACCCTCTCCCACAACCAGTCTGCAAGAGTGGAATAATTATAGAACAACTAAATTTTCGCTACATCTAACCATTTCCTAAAATTTAGTTGCTTTTTAATCTAAGTTTAAGCTTGATGCACCGTCCATACCTTGATAGGTACAGGAACTAGTAAAAGTTCGAAGGCAAAATGAAGGAATTTATTATCAAGATGAAATATCTACAAAACTAAGAAGATTGAGACCCATTTGAAATAATCCTTGTACCAAAATATGCTAGCTTTGTATGCCAATAATAATTAATTCTGAGTATTACTGACATTGAAATCATAATCCAAAATATGTGGGTCGCAGAAAAGCGAACGGTATTCTTTGGTGAACCATTGAACGAACTTTTCGAGTAGTTTCAATAATTCGAGATTAATCCTGGAAATATCTCAGCTCCGTCTTCATTTTAGGGGTTTCTGGCAAGCAAAAAAAAATCTGTATTTATGGACAATTGCAATTTTGCGTTGAGATTTAGTTAGGTGACCGTAAGGTAGCCTAAAGTTTGATGTCAACCTAGAGACGACTTTAGAGGTCCAGTTAGAACCAGGTCCCCTAATCTAAAATTAGGTGGTCCCTAAAAATGTATAGATTATTTCATGTTGGCTTTCCAATGGTCCGGTCCGTATATCAATGCATGTATTTTTATCGGATATAAAATCCCATGTTCAACATCGGGATACGAAGAATCGCTTTTACGCCCTCAGAAAAAAACAATACGCTCGCGTGGCCAAAAATTAATTGCTCAATTCAGCATTTCGCGGCTCGGCCTTTTTTTGATCGGGCAAAAGTCGACGTGGTCTTGTTTCTCGCCGCTTTGTATTACAATCTCCGATATAAATCGTTCGGCACCTTTCATCGCCAAACAAAAGATCCTCGAGAGTTCTTTTGTTTTCATCCTAAACGAGAATTTATATTTCAATTTAATATGCGACCGATAAATTCGTGTAAGAGGCGCCGGAGGCATGGCCCAGAACATCCGAAATTTTTATTTATAGCCCGGGCATATTTGCGCTGAACAATACGGCGGTAATTGAAACAAGGTGGGCTAAAAAAAAAACGTTAAATCAACCATTTAGCTCCGTGTTTTTCGGGAAATTGGAACTGAAGTTACACGATTTGAAAATGTTCTTAGATCTATTCAAGGGAGATCAAAAAAGTGAATCAACAGGTGGCTAAAGGTCGAGAGAGAACATAAGCAATCTAGTCGGACTTTTCTTACCCTTCCAGTGATAGAATGAGTTCTACAATGTGATTGGGACAAAAGTGGTTACAATTAACGTATTTATTTCTTCAACAAGCTGGACAGTCTAACCCCGTTGTCGAATTTTAAGAAACTGCATATTTAAAACGGTTAACGCTACATATTCCATCACTGTAAGATTTTTATTTAATTAATTAAAGAACTAATTAATTATATTTAATTAAAAATGAAACACTTTTAAACTACAATTTTTTTAGGTGTTTGTTAGCAGTAAAAAGTATTAATTTTTGAAAGCTATATTTGGCTGTTTAAAAATTATTAGAGTAAATGAATTATTGCGCAAAACTGCAATATATTTCTAAGAACTGATCAGCTTTGGAATATAGTCATGTGAAATTACGATTAAAATTTGGAATTTAATATATGAATGATTTTTGCTTAATATAACGACTAATAACATTTTCGTATATCTAATAGTGTCAATATTATTGTAATAAAATAAATAAAATTGCTCTTATGGACAATGTTTTACTGTCTATGTTGGAATGAAATTAGCAGCAGGGCTAAACTTCGTCTCGTTTTTAAGCGTTTCTTAATAGCAAAAAGTTTTAATTGTTGAAAATTATTAATTTGTTATTTACATATTATTAAAATAAGTAAATTATTGCCGAATGCGAAAATGTGTGTATGTCAATTTGCGAAGTTAATAACTCACTTTCTAGTAATGATCAACTGATAACATCCACATAATTAGCGATGGTCCTAAATTAGACAGAAATATAAAAATTGTTCATATATAAGAATTTTATTTTGAAGTTTTATGTATATATATATATATATATATATATATATATATATATATATATATATATATATATATATATATATATATATATATATATATATATATATATATATATATATATATATATATATATATATATATATATATATATATATATATATATATATATATATATATATATATATATATATATATATATATAACTTCAAAATAAAATTCTTATATATGAACAATTTTTATATTTCTGTCTAATTTAGGACCATCGCTAGACGTTCAGTTCATTAGCAGCATCTAATTTAGGACCATCGCTAGACGTTCAGTTCATTAGCAGCAACATGCAAGATTCAACGGAACTTCCTGCGTGTATATTATATTCTTTAGAGAGGGCCCTTTAAATACCGATTCCAAAAATGTGTAACACATTACGGTAATATAAAGATAATAAAATAAAAAGGTATAACAATTTTATACTTAACTATCTTTTTTTGCATCTTTTTAAACAGCGAAAAAAAAATGTTAAATGGGCTAAAAATTCTTAACGAATCGCTGGTATCTCT